TCGTCCTTGTTCACCAGGAATATGACGTGTACCGTTGTATTACCTGGCCTCATGTAAGACTGCAGCCAATCTTGCTCCCATGATGGGTTTGCATTGTCAAACTATGATGTACATATTGTTTGATACACATGGCTGGTAGAGAGTTGTTAGCTATACTTGGCTTTGTGTGGCTGTATCATTACTTTACATTAATTATTAGTGGGATTTACATGAACTGTCAAGTTATAACTGTAAAATATCTGCTACACAACCTATTGTTTGCATATTTCAACCACTGATAAAATACCTTCAGACAATTTGCTATTATTCATATTTTTAGCTCACCTAGCCCAAAGGCCCAAGTGAGCATATCCATGTCAGGATGTCCATCAAACTTTTCTTTAAACTTTTAAATAACCAGATGGTGTAGGGTCAAAATATTTAACTGATAGATTCATTGGACGGAGTTTGACAAAGTTTGCAAAAAACTTCATGATTTCGTATTATTAACTTAAGGGTCTAAAATCACAACATCTACCTGGTATTCCCGGAATAGAACCCAATGAAGTTTGTGAAAAGAAGTGACCTCGATCCATATTAAAAAAGTGGTAAAATTTGTTTAAACGCTAAAACTCTTATTTTTTAAAACACCTAGTAATTACAATTGTACCATTCAACTGTATATTTAACAACAGTGTATAAACAATATATAACATGCAGCTATAGGAGTATTTCACATTTGTTAAGAATCACCAGGCTTTTCAACGTGTATAAAGTGCCACTAGCTTATGAATAATAGATCTACACAATCAAGTAATTTATCTTTTTGATAAACAAACAACAGCCTTTTTGTATGTTTCAGTTGCTAGGTACCACATTGCTGTGTAATTTACAAATGCTTTGTACCACAAGGTTACTTGTGTAATTGATAATTGTTAAGAGCCACAAAGTTACTGGTATAACTGATAATTGTTAAGAAACACTGTAAATGTAACTACCACAAGGTTACTTGTGTATTTAACAACTGTTACAATACTACCACAAGGTTACTTGTGTATTTAACAACTGTTACGATACTACCACAAGGTTACTTGTGTATTTAACTACTGTTACGATACTACCACCACAAGGTTACTTGTGTATTTAACTACTGTTACAATACTACCACAAGGTTACTTGTGTATTTAACAACTGTTACGATACTACCACCACAAGGTTACTTGTGTATTTAACTACTGTTACAATACTACCACAAGGTTACTTGTGTATTTAACAACTGTTACAATACTACCACAAGGTTACTTGTGTATTTAACAACTGTTACGATACTACCACAAGGTTACTTGTGTATTTAACTACTGTTACAATACTACCACAAGGTTACTTGTGTATTTAACAACTGTTACGATACTACCACAAGGTTACTTGTGTATTTAACAACTGTTACGATACTACCACAAGGTTACTTGTGTATTTAACTACTGTTACGATACTACCACAAGGTTACTTGTGTATTTAACAACTGTTACAATACTACCACAAGGTTACTTGTGTATTTAACAACTGTTACGATACTACCACAAGGTTATTTGTGTATTTAACTACTGTTACGATACTACCACAAGGTTATTTGTGTATTTCACACTTTCTTAGGCTCCATCATGTTATTTTATATATTTACAGTATCACCATACTATCTGTGCATTCAATATCAAGATAAGGATTTATGTGCATCTGACAACTGTTAAGTACCGCCAGATTATTTGGTACCATTTAATTACTATCAAGTTAGGTTTTAGCCCCAACCTGCTTATGTGTGCTGGAAAAAATACACAGACTGGTTGACAGAGCCAACCAGTGATTGGTCGATACCGAAGGCCATGACTATGTAGATCAGCAGTGTTATGATTGTTGATTTTGTTATTATTTATTATCATTATTATGTGATCAGTATAATGTAGAACCAAGATGGCTGCTGCTGATCACTATGCTACTAATATAATGATATCATCAAAATAAAGATTCACGTTACAATTAAACACGGTTTTCTTGTCTTTTGATATCTGTGTACTAATATTTCGGTGAGTTAACCCTGAAATCCTGATCATTATAATCTATTCTAAAGACACCTACATATCGTAATATAGATGTTGTCAATAAAGGAGTTCAAAATGAATAATCTATCCATTAAGCAGGAATCAAAATATAAAACATATCTTAGAATTACATGAAAAATTTTATAAAGGCTTGTTATAACAGAGATTGTACACTATCTTCTGCTGTAAGGTGTAGGTGACCAGAATTATCTTCAGTGATTATCTATGACTAGGTGACCAGAATTAGGTTCAGTGGTTATCTATGACTAGGTGACCAGAATTAGGTTCAGTGATTATCTAAGACTAGGCGACCAGAATTAGGTTCAGTGGTTATCTAAGACTAGGTGACCAGAATTATCCCCAGTGGTTATCTAAGACTAGGCGACCAGAATTAGGTTCAGTGGTTATCTATGACTAGGTGACCAGAATTAGGTTCAGTGGTTATCTAAGACTAGGTGACCAGAATTATCTTCAGTGATTATCTATGACTAGGCGACCAGAATTAGGTTCAGTGATTATCTATGACTAGGTGACCAGAATTAGGTTCAGTGGTTATCTAAGACTAGGTGACCAGAATTAGGTTCAGTGGTTATCTATGACTAGGTGACCAGAATTAGGTTCAGTGATTATCTAACCAGAATTAGGTTCAGTGGTTATCTATGACCAGAATTAGGTTCAGTGGTTATCTATGACTAGGTGACCAGAATTAGGTTCAGTGGTTATCTATGACTAGGTGACCAGAATTAGGTTCAGTGGTTATCTATGACTAGGCGACCAGAATTAGGTTCAGTGATTATCTATGACTAGGTGACCAGAATTAGGTTCAGTGGTTATCTAAGACTAGGTGACCAGAATTAGGTTCAGTGGTTATCTATGACTAGGTGACCAGAATTATCTCCAGTGGTTATCTATGACTAGGTGACCAGAATTATCTTCAGTGATTATCTATGACTAGGTGACCAGAATTATCTTCAGTGATTATCTATGACTAGGTGACCAGAATTATCTTCAGTGATTATCTATGACTAGGTGACCAGAATTATCTCCGGTGGTTATCTATGACTAGGTGACCAGAATTAGGTTCAGTGGTTATCTATGACTAGGTGACCAGAATTATCTTCAATTTATTTGACGAGTCATGGGGACCGAAAACCAATTAACCATCAAATCATCTATAGCTAAAAAATCAGAACAAAGGTATTGTTAACCATAATTTATTATAATAAATACACTGCAATAAACAGCAAACAAAAATACTATAGAATCTCTAACTTGTCTAACAATAGATACGAATATTAGTATTGATATTGGCAGGTCACATGTATATAAAGTTTTATAATTATGTATAATGGTTTTTGGCAATTTGATTGATAAAGCCATCAAATTCAGCAGAAACTGTCAATAATAGGCATCACCTAGACAACCACAACTAAAAACAACAGTAATCTGAAATTGATATCTTTACAACATGATTATCTGACATGACAGAACTTACATATTCCTGATATAATACAGGGATTACAATGTTACTGACATGTTAATACAAGGTATACTATAGTACAGGGCTTTACAACATGTTAATACATAACAACAACTGTTGTTTTATTTACACTCAGACCACAGATCTAATATGTTGAGGGTAAGAATTTAGATCCAAATCATCAATATCACATGAAAACATCAAATTTTCAAAGACAAGTTTTCAGTGACAAGCATAACTCGCATCATTTTCAAATAAAGGAAAAGGAAGCAAAAAAATACTGAGGATTTTTCATCTTTTTTTTTTTTAAATTTCTGCGCTTAATGCCTCAGTTCCCTGGAGACAAGCATCCACTTTCAAAGTAAAATATTGTCTGTTCTCTGTAAACAACAGTATCATAATATACCAGTACCTTCATAATTTTTGGGAGACTTTTTTTTTTCAAAATGATTAATTGTAATTAAGAATTTGATGTTTATGATTTTACTGTATGACATCAATGTTGGACCCTCAGAATCTCAATGCTAAATAAAAACAATCAATAAAAACAACAGAAGATTACTAAGGCCTGTAAACAATGTGAATCATTGACCTTTCGACCTCGTAATGTAACAACATCACAATAGGTTTCACATTGTCATAAGTGAAGATTCTATTGTACTAAAAGACTGTCACAATAAGTTACGAAAACATTGCACTAAAATTTGTCACAATAAGTTATGAAAATATTGCACTAAAAAGGACTGTTTTCATAACTGGAACTGCCAGAATTCACAACAGAAACAGTCAGTTTTTACAACTGGAACAGTCATCCAGAGGTTAAATTACAACCCCCCACACCCCTACACCCCCACACCCCCACTTCTAACACCTCACCCTCTCCAATAGTTTCAATCCCAGTAATCTCAGTACTATATGTATGAGGAATTTCACTAGACATACATGTACAAATCCCTTGTCTTGTCCAATCACTTTAACATAAATCAGAAAAGCTATTGGCCATTGCACAAATACATATGTATAGTGACATAGTTGCCATGGCAATGTATATACACAATTACACATGACCCATAATATTTCTAATATAGTTTCATTGAAATTGTAATTCTTGACTAAATCCCTCTATTAATTGGTCTTTTGTTTGGTCACTACGGCAACCCAATGTCATCAGGTATTTTGGAAAATAGTATCATTGTAATTGCAATAAACACACTTCTAAACCCTAATATATTGATTTTCAGCATAACTTTGACCAGAAGAAGTCTCCATTGTTTTTCAAAAGTGATGGTTCTAGAAATACCTGATGCATCAAATAAAGGCATTGATAGTTAACACCATCTGACAATGAAGTATTCAAAGTAGCTCAAGTTTTGGAGGTCGTTGTCTGGACCAAACTTCTATAGTTAGACAGATTCCAGTATACAACCCCCTCCCTCCCACCCCGATGTAAGGTACATTGTATTATGGTATAGTTAACTATTGCACTTGTCACCATATGTTACCAAACTTTTGAACCAAAAAAGTAACAATAAGTTTCCAACAATTGCACTTTAAAAAAAAATAGGGCAGTCAACCCAGCCAGATATTGTCCTGGTCATCTTTACCTATTGATAATTCTATTTTACAGCCAGACCCTTGTATTCTCTGTGCAATATATCAACTGGCTATCACAGAACTTTACTGCACACTTTATGTAGATGTTGGATTTCTCATTCTTTGTCTATTGAAAAAAACTTTTCAAACTATGTGATAATGAATTATATCAAAATGTCAAGACAAGTCACTTATCATTGCATGCAGTAGATGATATTCCATAGAACAGTGATTTAATCACAGATTTGTCTCTTATGATTAGCTCTTAGATGATAAACTCACCAACAAATTACTGGCAACAGTTGAATGGTGAACAGATAACCTTCACTTCCATGTTATTATTATCAACAATTTTTACTGTAGAGAATTAGTTCCAATGTTCTCAGAGATATTGTATATCTGACAATACCAGCCAAGAAATGGACCTTAATCTGGCCCAAAATTGATCTGACAGATAACATAGCATAGAACTGGGTGGCAATCAAGAATTGGACCTAGATCTGACCCGAAATTGATCTGACAGATTACACAACGTAGAACCAGTTGGCAGTTGTGAAGTGGAACTCAATTTGATCCAACAGTTTATACAGCATAGAACTGGGTGGCAGCTGAGGACTGGACTTCAATCTGACCCAATTTAAACTGGCTACGTTTGAGCCAGTTGAGGAGGACTGTGGAGTTGACTGAGGCCAAATCTTTGGTAGGGCTTGGAGGCTCCCAATTCTCACATGTCTGCAGCTTCACCTGGCCTGATAACTGAAAGTTCAAATTACAGACACTGAGAAACAAGGGGTATGCTGTGTAATGAGTTCATCTGGTGCAAATTTTGCCATTAGGTGTCAAAACCACAATATGTAAATTTAGCCAGGTCATATTTTTGTTATTTACTAAAAGGAAGTAGAAATAAATGATAACGCTAAATAATGAAAATTAGACCAAATCTGTTATACCTCTATACAGATCTTTATACTCTCTCTAATCAACAAAATATTATTTTTAGAAAAAACAGAACACTTAAAAAACATTCTATTAAAGATATAACTACAGATAGATGGTGTTACTATACTTACACTTGAGTGATGAGTAAATAAAATGGTTGTCCACATCGGAAACAGCTGAAACAACAGATAAAAGATTTCATCAGGATTGGATTTCATTGGTACTAACTGGCTAAAACAGAACAGTTACACTCCCAAAGAATATACAAATCTTGGCTAAAACAAAACAGTTACATTCCCATAGAGTATACAAATCTTGGCTAAAACAGAACAGTTACATTCCCAGAGAGTACAAATCTTGACTGAAGCAGAACAGTTACACTCCCATAGAATATACAAATCATGGCTAAAACAGAACAGTTACACTCCCATAGAGTATACAAATCTTGGCTAAAACAGAACAGTTACATTCCCATAGAGTATACAAATCTTGGCTAAAACAGAACAGTTACACTCCTATAGAATATACAAATCTTGGCTAAAACAGAACAGTTACACTCCCATAGAGTATACAAATCTTGGCTACTGACTGAAACAGAACAGTTACATTCCCATAGAATATACAAATCTTGGCTAAAACAGAACAGTTACACTCCCATAGAATATACAAATCTTAGCTAAAACAGAACAGTTACACTCCCATAGAGTATACAAATCTTGGCTAAAACAGAACAGTTACACTCCCATAGAATATACAAATCTTGGCTAAAACAGAACAGTTACATTCCCAGAGAGTACAAATCTTAGCTAAAACAGAACAGTTACACTCCCATAGAATATACAAATCTTGGCTAAAACAGAACAGTTACACCCCCATAGAATATACAAATCTTGGCTAAAACAGAACAGTTACACTCCCATAGAATATACAAATCTTGGCTAAAACAGAACAGTTACACTCCCATAGAATATACAAATCTTGGCTAAAACAGAACAGTTACACCCCCATAGAGTATACAAATCTTGGCTAAAACAAAACAGTTACACTCCCATAGAGTATACAAATCTTGGCTAAAACAAAACAGTTACACTCCCATAGAGTATACAAACCTTGGCCAAAACAGAACAGTTACATTCCCATAGAATATACAAATCTTGGCTAAAACAGAACAGTTACACTCCCATAGAGTATACAAACCTTGGCCAAAACAGAATAGTTACACTCCCATAGAGTATACAAATCTTGACTGAAACAGAACAGTTACATTCCCAGAGAGTATACAAATCTTGGCTAAAACAGAACAGTTACACTCCCATAGAGTATACAAATCTTGACTGAAACAGAACAGTTACATTCCCATATAGTATACAAATCTTGACTGAAACAGAACAGTTACATTCCCATAGAATATACAAATCTTGGCTAAAACAGAACAGTTACATTCCCATAGAGTATACAAACCTTGGCCAAAACAGAATAGTTACACTCCCATAGAGTATACAAATATTGACTGAAACAGAACAGTTACATTCCCAGAGAGTATACAAATTTTGACTGAAACAGAACAGTCACACTCCCAAGAGTATACAAACCTTGGCTAAAACAGAACAGTCACATTCCCATAGAGTATACAAACCTTGGCTAAAACAGAACAGTCACACTCCCAAGAGTATACAAATTTTGACTGAAACATATGATCTATAATCCCATAGGACATACAAACCTTGGCTAAAACAGATGAGTTACACTCCCGCAGGGCTTCCATCAGACTCAAAAAGTGTTGGTTAACCTTCTCTGCCAGCTACAAGATGACAAGTATTAATGTCAGTAGGTAACATATATGGCCTTCCAAATACAGATGTCCTAACTACACAGTTATGACAATTCCTTACATCCACCAAAGAGTCAATAGAATCTGTGTAATTAAGTTTGTGGTATGATTGGCCTTTGTTATAAACACTTTGTCAATTTCTATAACAAGAGAAATTCTGTAAGACAGTTACCTAAAAACGTGAATACATCTGAGGTACAATATTCTAACAAAATGTATCTACTTTTGTGTAAATTTTGATCCAAGTCCCTTAATCAAAGGATAGCTATATTGACTTTCCAGGGTCAGTACATTGTTACCACTTAATGTATGGATGGAACATCATCCACTATAATCTTATCATCTTGTCTCACATTTTCTTCACCTTGGTGGACACAGCAGTACAGTTCAGCTTAAACGTCCTGTGATTTCATTACCACTAGATACAATGTATACCACAGTGTAATACACTTCGCACTAGTCATTAGCTCGGATTTTCTAACTTGTGATATATGTAGCTGTACAATACTCAAGGGATAAAGAAATGCAGGGTGGCATAATTTGCAATATCCTGCAAACGCGTTATTAAAAAACAATGAAAATCGGTCAAACAACTCTCTAGGTTACAGTGATGTGGTCCTGTATTGAATGTTGTATTATTGTATTGCATGACAATGTCTCCAGGGGAAAGCACGAAACGGGAAAATCTCGTGCACAGTAGTGTTGTGACATTGAGTTACATTGTTCAACATACTATTAGATAGTCTTCATATAGACACATCGTTTTCCGATATTTTGATTAATTTCTGATAGCATTAAACAATGGCACAGCTGATGGAAGTTCATAGGGGTCAGGCCATTGTGATGATTATGCATTTCTTTCGCTGCTCGTTGCCGGCATCATATGGCTTGGGTGGTGGCCCCAGAATATTCCCATTGAGGCAGTGGAGGCGGGTCTTGTTTATTGATGAGTCGCATTTCACCCTGTTTTAAGCAGATGTTTGACATCATTTGTACTGACGTTGTGGAGAATGTTTTGCCTACTGCTGCGTAGTAGAGAGGGATGATAGGTTTAGGGGTGGATTGGTTATGGTGTGGGGAGGAACCCCACATGGGTAATTTAACTGCTGCTAGGTATAGAGATGAGATCCTCCAACCCCATGTTGTCCCATTATTGAAGCAAAACAACCTCAATTTCAAGCAGGATAATGCTTGGCCCCATGTAGTTAGGATCTGTCGCAACTTTCTCACTAACAATAATAGCCATCCACTGGACTGGCCACCATGCAGTCCCAACCTTTCCCTTATAGAGCACTTGTGGGACCAGCTGGATAGACAGATTCGACGATGCCAGCCTCCTCTTGTTACTCTGACCCAACTAAAAGCAGCACTCTTGGATTAATGGGCCAACCTCCCAATGAGGTGGATTAAATTTCTCATGAACTCCATGCCTTGTAGAATTAGAGCTGTGGAGAGAGTGAATGGGGGACATACCCGGTATTGAATAGCCAGCTCCCACAAACTGTCCATTCAATTTCAGATTACAGATTTCTCCTGCAATTCCCTTCAATTACTCCTAATCACTTACCAGATACAAATTGTCGATTTTGCATTTTGTTCTATATAGATTAATCTTCATTCTTACATAAAATATTGAACATTATACTCGACGTCTTGTCTAGAATCATCTTCAAATTTTACCCTGCATTTCTTTATCTGTTGAGTATATTTTAAGACTGCCTACATGTTCAGCACCAATAGCAAATGATAGGTCCAGGTATGAAGGTTTTAAGGCTGTAAGAGGCTCCAGACTAAAATCTAACTAGGGCTGTGCCATTAGGGTTTATTTGCCAATTATGTAATTATCAGGTGATGTTAATGTAATACAAATACTACACATCACAAAAAGTATTTTCCTGTATTAACTTGACTTGGTTCTGAATTTATAACAAAAATGTTGTGAGCAACTTCCAGCACCTAAACCTGAATCTGTGAGAAAGGTTGATTCGTTAGAAAATTATCAACATTAACATCAGGCTTGCATTTTATCAATACAGAATGGCAGTGTTCACCAGGGTCCTTACAAAGTGATAGGGTTATATGGGAAGATGATAAAGGCCTTATCATACACCTTCCAATAACAATTCAGCCAATCCATGTAAAGTTACAGCAGGGTTTACATGGTCAGTGAGAACAGGCAGTTATTTCACAGATGTAAGATTTTATTTAAAAGTTTTATTTAAAGGTATGCTGAAGAACAAAACATTTAAATAAAAAAACACTTTTGTACACAAAATGTATTGTAATCTTGGTGACCACCAATGGTATGATATCACAGAACATAATATATATAATATAGACTGTTTCACATCTTAACCATTCATCTCTCTAATTCAATTTCCATCACAAATTTTTCCAGCTATAAAACAAAACATTCTAGTAATAACACACAGACACGGTCTACAACACATAGGACATCACAACACTGTCACAGGGCACTAGGCCTATCCCAAACATACTCTAGCACAGAGCAGCTGGTCTACAGCGGGTCAACACTAGTTCAGGGCAGACAACTCTGTGCAACCAAAAGGCTGGGCATAGGGCAAGGACATGTGGTATTGGCTAGTAGGTGGATGCTGTTCTATATTAAAACACCATGCAGGCTTTGTAAAGAAATCAGATTATCTACATAACTATATAAACTCGTTCAACAATTTTCAATACTTTGTTTTTGGATCTGTCTTTCTTGTGCAACACAAAAAGGTATCATACTGTTTCCAACCATGCATCAGATCAGTGTAGTAAGCCCGTCCCAACCTCTGTGTATCCTCCAGGATCAAGAGAATAAAGCAGTTACTCTCGTACTAAACCTGTTCCCCATCCCTCCATCCTTCATTCCCCTCAGACTTTTTCAGAACAGCCAAAATGCTCTCCAGCATTACTGCAGATCAGTATAAACATTCAAAAACTTAATCATATCAGTGTAATACTTTCCAACCCTGGCTCAGATAAACATGTCTCCTATAACATACTTCAAAGTCTTTACACCCCATCTATCACAATCTTCTTGCCCTCTTCCCTTCAGCCTATCTGTTCCTCTACCTTGATATCCTTGCCCTCTTCCTTCCCTCCAGCCTATGTGTACCCCTACCTTGATCTTCTTGCCCTCTTCCATCCAGCCTATCTGTACCCCTACCTTGATCTCCTTGCCTTCTTCCCTCCAGCCAATCTTTACCCTTACCTTGATCTTGCCCTCTTCCTTCCCTCCAGCCTATCTGTACCCCTACCTGGATCTTGCCCTCTTCCTTCCCTCCAGCCTATCTGTACCCCTACCTGGATCTTGCCCTCTTCCTTCCCTCCAGCCTATCTGTACCCCTCCCTTGCCTCTCCTACCCTTCTTTCTTCCCTCCAGCCTATCTGTACCCCTCCCTTGCCTCTCCTACCCTTCTTTCTTCCCTCCAGCCTATCTGTACCCCTCCCTTGCCTCTCCTACCCTTCTTTCTTCCCTCCAGCCTATCTGTACCCCTACCTGGATCTTGCCCTCTTCCTTCCCTCCAGCCTATCTGTACCCCTACCTGGATCTTGCCCTCTTCCTTCCCTCCAGCCTATCTGTACCCCTACCTGGATCTTGCCCTCTTCCTTCCCTCCAGCCTATCTGTACCCCTACCTGGATCTTGCCCTCTTCCTTCCCTCCAGCCTATCTGTACCCCTCCCTTGCCTCTCCTACCCTTCTTTCTTCCCTCCAGCCTATCTGTACCCCTCCCTTGCCTCTCCTACCCTTCTTTCTTCCCTTCAGCCTATCTGTACCCCTCCCTTGCCTCTCCTACCCTTCTTTCTTCCCTCCAGCCTATCTGTACCCCTACCTTGATCTTCTTGCCCTCTTCCCTCCAGCCTATCTGTAATCCTTCCTTGATCTCCTTGCCCTCTTCCTTCCCTCCAGCCTATCTGTACCCCTACCTTGATCTTCTTGCCCTCTTCCCTCCAGCCTATCTGTAACCCTCCCTTGATCTCCTACCCTTCTTTCTTCCCTCCAGCCTATCTGTACCCCTCCCTTGCCTCTCCTACCCTTCTGTCTTCCCTCCAGCCTATCTGTACCCCTCCCTTGCCTCTCCTTGCCCTCTTCCCTCCAGCCTATCTGTACCCCTCCCTTGCCTCTCCTACCCTTCTTTCTTCCCTCCAGCCTATCTGTACCCCTCCCTTGCCTCTCCTACCCTTCTGTCTTCCCTCCAGCCTATCTGTACCCCTCCCTTGCCTCTCCTACCCTTCTGTCTTCCCTCCAGCCTATCTGTACCCCTCCCTTGCCTCTCCTACCCTTCTTTCTTCCCTCCAGCCTATCTGTACCCCTCCCTTGCCTCTCCTACCCTTCTGTCTTCCCTCCAGCCTATCTGTACCCCTCCCTTGCCTCTCCTACCCTTCTGTCTTCCCTCCAGCCTATCTGTACCCTCCCTTGCCTCTCCTACCCTTCTGTCTTCCCTCCAGCCTATCTGTACCCCTACCTGGATCTTCTTGCCCTCTTCCCTCCAGCCTATCTGTAACCCTCCCTTGATCTCCTACCCTTCTTTCTTCCCTCCAGCCTATCTGTACCCCTCCCTTGCCTCTCCTACCCTTCTTTCTTCCCTCCAGCCTATCTGTACCCCTCCCTTGCCTCTCCTACCCTTCTGTCTTCCCTCCAGCCTATCTGTACCCCTCCCTTGCCTCTCCTACCCTTCTTTCTTCCCTCCAGCCTATCTGTACCCCTCCCTTGCCTCTCCTACCCTTCTGTCTTCCCTCCAGCCTATCTGTACCCCTCCCTTGCCTCTCCTACCCTTCTGTCTTCCCTCCAGCCTATCTGTACCCCTCCCTTGCCTCTCCTACCCTTCTGTCTTCCCTCCAGCCTATCTGTATCTGTACCCCTCCCTTGCCTCTCCTACCCTTCTGTCTTCCCTCCAGCCTATCTGTACCCCTCCCTTGCCTCTCCTACCCTTCTGTCTTCCCTCCAGCCTATCTGTACCCCTCCCTTGCCTCTCCTACCCTTCTGTCTTCCCTCCAGCCTATCTGTACCCCTCCCTTGCCTCTCCTACCCTTCTGTCTTCCCTCCAGCCTATCTGTACCCCTAATTTCTAACCAACATCCACCTGATCTGCCAATGTCTAATACCCAGTGTGTATGCTATATTGAGGGACAATAGTGGAAGCCACTGTCAAACCTGGTGTGATGTTACTTTGGTGTCCTTTGAAAGTTTTAATAACAAAAATAATTCCATTTAGCTGCATATGTATACAAAAAGAAATGATTTCATTGACGACATAGAAATACAGCCACAATCCTGATCATACCCCTAAATATTGATTAAAAGTTTAGTAACATTACACAGACTGATACATGTGTTATCATATCGTACAAATCTTCATCATCTCCATGGAGAACTCTATATGTTCATGAACCTGAGTTGATATCTAATGAAACATTTATATGAAATGTAAAGATAATTGTTTTATCTTCTAATACAGTAATTCTGTGACTGCTTAAATAAACTGTTTAATAAAGAATGAATAAAACACGAAGTAGTACATGACTGAGCACTATTGATACACCACAGATATAGGGAACATGTCTATAAAACATACTTTATCTCAATATCAGAGTCAATTATCACATTAATTATCAAAGATAATATCGGAGGGAATACCTGTAAAAAGTACTTTGTAGGTGTGATCATATCTCTTAACTGTGAAGATTTTATCATATCTCTTAACTGTGAAGATTTGACCATATCTCTTAACTGTGAAGATTTGACCATATCTCTTAACTGTGTAGGTGTGATCATATCTCTTAACTGTGTAGGTGTGATCATATCTCTTAACTGTGAAGATTTGATCATATCTCTTAACTGTGTAGATTTGTGTGATTTGATCATATCTCTTAACTGTGTAGGTGTGATCATATCTCTTAACTGTGAAGATTTGATCATATCTCTTAACTGTGAAGATTTGATCATATCTCTTAACTGTGAAGATTTGATCATATCTCTTAACTGTGTAGGTGTGATCATATCTCTTAACTGTGAAGATTTGATCATATTTCTTAACTGTGAAGATTTGATCATATCTCTTAACTGTGTAGGTGTGATCATATCTCTTAACTGTGTAGGTGTGATCATATCTCTTAACTGTGAAGATTTGATCATATCTCTTAACTGTGAAGATTTGATCATATCTCTTAACTGTGTAGGTGTGATCATATCTCTTAACTGTGAAGATTTGATCATATCTCTTAACTGTGTAGGTGTGATCATATCTCTTAACTGTGAAGATTTGATCATATCTCTTAACTGTGTAGGTGTGATCATATCTCTTAACTGTGAAGATTTGATCATATCTCTTAACTGTGTAGGTGTGATCATATCTCTTAACTGTGAAGATTTGATCATATCTCTTAACTGTGTAGGTGTGATCATATCTCTTAACTGTGAAGATTTGATCATATCTCTTAACTGTGTAGGTGTGATCATATCTCTTAACTGTGTAGGTGTGATCATAGCTCTTAACTGTGAAGATTTGATCATATTTCTTAACTGTGAAGATTTGATCATATCTCTTAACTGTGAAGATTTGATCATATCTCTTAACTGTGAAGATTTGATCATATCTCTTAACTGTGAAGATTTGATCATATCTCTTAACTGTGTAGGTGTGATCATATCTCTTAACTGTGAAGATTTGATCATATCTTAACTGTGAAGATTTGATCATATCTCTTAACTGTGAAGATTTGATCATATTTCTTAACTGTGAAGATTTGATCATATCTTAACTGTGAAGATTTGATCATATCTCTTAACTGTGTAGGTGTGATCATATCTCTTAACTGTGAAGATTTGATCATATCTCTTAACTGTGTAGGTGTGATCATATCTCTTAACTGTGAAGATTTGATCATATCTCTTAACTGTGAAGATTTGATCATATCTCTTAACTGTGTAGGTGTGATGTGATATCTCTTAACTGTGTAGATTTGGTGTGATCATATCTCTAACTGTGAAGATTTGATCATATCTCTTAACTGTGTAGGTGTGATCATATCTCTTAACTGTGTAGGTGTGATCATATCTCTTAACTGTGTAGGTGTGATCATATCTCTTAACTGTGAAGATTTGATCATATCTCTTAACTGTGAAGATTTGACCATATCTCTTAACTGTTAAGGTTTTATTATACTTCATAATTGTGAAAATTTGATACATGTAAGTTTAATGTCCTTGTTCTGACTAATTATAACTGGCTACATGGTATGTAAGGCTAATTTAGACATTATCGTTATTATAACTGTTATGTAAATAATGTTATAAATTATTTTTAACCATTTGTGAGAGCTGAGATGCTGTTCTGACTTGTTACAGACACCTAAATATTAAACCTACCCCAGGCTCCTTGGGTGTAGCCAGCATCTGTAGTATCCCTGGAGTAACACGTCCCCAGAAGTCCATCACTGTAGAGGAGGCCACTTTGTAGCTATCACTGTGAATAGGGTGTTGGGCTGCTGCTGACTCACAGTATATTGTCCACAACTAGAAGTCAGAGGTCAAACTTATAAATATCTAAAGTTATGTTTTTAGTTAAAAGTTTTCTAAGATCAGTTATAATCAGATATATTCAGGTAAAGTTTTGCCCTATCTAAAGTCATACTACAGCAAACATTTCTCTTTATAGTTTACAAAGAAATACAAAAAATAATGCTCCATATATTATAGCATTCATTACACAAACAATATCCAAAGTTAACAAGTTAATACATAGATTATGATACAGGAAAACAGTCTGCAGTCATAACCAGAACTTCATGTTGATACTTACCTGGCATAATATAAAGGCATGGAAAAGCGAGCTCATGTGTAGGACATTGTCCTGTAAAGAAGACAAGAATAAAGTCAGGATATCACAAAAACCCAACAACACTGATAGCATGCGATACACCGAAGCATTCAAGTAATTTGAAAGAGAATAAAGGAAATATTTGTACCTTTGACCTTTCATCAAAGCCTGTCATGATGACAAGAACATGTTCAGCAATATAGGTGCTGGCATCCAATGGGATTGGCAGACAAGACATGGGGGCAGAGCCTTCGGTCATTGCTGTGTGAGTTAGGGAGCCTATCAGAAGCCAGGACAGTAAACGGATATGTCCTATACAGTCTGTAAACTCTTTTGGTCTGAAAAATAAGGATGGAGAATTAACATTTTCAAAGAGACCAACAGCACTGAAATGAAAATAAATTTTAAAATGTTTCCAAGACTGGCAGTTTTTAACTAGATGAACCTCTAAGAATGACTTGTGGGAACATGATAATACAGTTGGGAAATGCATCACACTTTACAACTGCAGGTGAAGATACAGTTTTGCATGAAGATGAGGAGGTCTTGGATCATCCCTTTTTGTAATAGTTGTTCCCTACTGGGTAAAATACTTTAATTCAGTTGTACTGGATAGCATGTAACATGCTGCATGCATGTTCTGTCTGGTAGTCACCAGCTACAACTAGGAGACCCAACCTAAAATAACCTGTGTTATTCATGGCAAAGATGAAAAGGGAAAGTCTTCAAAAAGGCTGAATATTATTATCATATTTTAGTGGAAATAATACCATTTAATTACTTATTTTCCGAGAGTCAAAAAGGTGAAAATGAGCCAATCGGCTGAAGAACTTCATCTCTAACATGGGGTATTAAACCATACAGATAACAACATGACTAAGATAATGCTCCCCCCAGATGTGATGGTTTTGACACTTACCCTTGTTGTACAGTGGAGGGAGGGTGGTACAACCATGGTAAATAGCGTGAGATTGCCCTGTTGTCACGACCATTACAGCGAGTCATCTCTAAGGAAACGTACTGGGCTATACCTGACTTCAGCTGGCTCCCTAGTGTGTCCTCGTTCAGACTGCTTGTCCCTCCCTTCATATTACTCTGTAAAGGCACAAACACAAAAACTGTCATCAAATGTATTCATCTGACTTTCATTTGTCACACAATGTACAAGACAAGAAAGCAGGAATGTAATAGTTTGGGGAAATTTTCCAACATTTAATATTCAATGTAAATTTCAGTTTGTTTAGTTCAAGGACATTTTGTGACAAGAGTTATCATTCAGCCTCAATCATGATGAGAGGATTACTAGTGTTGAAGGGTACCTTTATAGGAGAGTCTAGCACTGTTTAATAATAAGGTCTTGTCCTTACCTTGACCTTTGTTAGAGTGTGGGGATCAGCCACAAACTCGATGGAGTCATGGAGATGGTCCCTCATACATTCTGCAGCACATGTACTGATAAGCATGTTAGCATGACTGTGATACAGCATGCCTCCCTCCCCAACAATGTTTGTGTTTCCAATGGTACCTCCAGCATCCAGCACCACAAACTGTAGCATCAATGTAAAGGTCAATGTGTAACAATATCAAGGTCATTGTTTCATCAGCACAAAGAATGATATTTATAACATCATCTTAAATCTGGATATGAATTCATCCAAAACACCCTGTGTATATATACCTACCAAAAATAGCTGATTATCTGACTTCTGTGTACAGCTTAGTCTGTACATAAAATCATCTCCATCTAGTGATCACCTGTTATTGAGGGTTAAAAGGTTATTGTCAGGTCTAGCTGTAATCACTGTGACTACAGGTCTAGCTATAAATGTTGTATCTATGGGTCTAGCTGTAGTCACTGTAACTACAGGTCTAACTGTATCCACTGTAACTACATGTCAAGCTATAAATGTTGTATCTATGGGTCTAGCTGTAATCACTGTAACTACAGTTCTAACTGTAACCACTGTAACTACAGGTCTAGCTATAAATGTTGTATCTATGGGTCTAGCTGTAATCACTGTGACTACAGGTCTAGCTATAAATGTTGTATCTATGGGTCTAGCTGTAATCACTGTGACTACAGGTCTAGCTATAAATGTTGTATCTATGGGTCTAGCTGTAATCACTGTGACTACAGGTCTAGCTATAAATGTTGTATCTATGGGTCTAGCTGTAATCACTGTGACTACAGGTCTAGCTATAAATGTTGTATCTATGGGTCTAGCTGTAATCACTGTGACTACAGGTCTAGCTATAAATGTTGTATCTATGGGTCTAGCTGTAATCACTGTAACTACAGGTCTAGCTATAAATGTTGTATCTATGGGTCTAGCTGTAGTCACTGTAACTACAGGTCTAGCTATAAATGTTGTATCTATGGGTCTAGCTGTAATCACTGTAACTACAGGTCTAACTGTAACCACTGTAACTACAGGTCTAGCTATAAATGTTGTATCTATGGGTCTAGCTGTAGTCACTGTAACTACAGGTCTAACTGTAACCACTGTAACTACAGGTCTAGCTATAAATGTTGTATCTATGGGTCTAGCTGTAGTCACTGTAACTACAGGTCTAACTGTAACCACTGTAACTACAGGTCTAGCTATATATGTTGTATCTATGGGTCTAGCTGTAATCACTGTAACTACAGTTCTAACTGTAACCACTGTAACTACAGGTCTAGCTATAAATGTTGTATCTATGGGTCTAGCTGTAGTCACTGTAACTACAGGTCTAACTGTAACCACTGTAACTACAGGTCTAGCTATAAATGTTGTATCTATGGGTCTAGCTGTAATCACTGTAACTACAGTTCTAACTGTAACCACTGTAACTACAGGTCTAGCTATAAATGTTGTATCTATGGGTCTAGCTGTAATCACTGTAACTACAGGTCTAGCTATAAATGTTGTATCTATGGGTCTAGCTGTAGTCACTGTAACTACAGGTCTAGCTATAAATGTTGTATCTATGGGTCTAGCTGTAGTCACTGTACCTACAGGTCTAACTGTAACCACTGTAACTACATGTCAAGCTGTAATCACTGTTACTACAAATCTAAATATAAACACAGTTCCATTCATGGTACATACCTGTACCAGGAGGAGGAAGTTCTCGTCTGGTAGAGAGTGTTTGAACTTCATGGCTTGGATAAGTTCAAAGATGACAGTCCTTGTCAGATAAAGTTTGTCCCGTTCCTGCCAAACAAAAATAGTGTACAGTTGTAACAATGTTTCTTGAAGTAATGGCAAACATAAAAATTTCATGAAGATGATATGACTCAACAGGTACAAAGGAAATCACCTTTCTTAAAAATCAATGACCAAGTAATTTCTGAAGGAATATCAATGAGAAGCACACATTAATCTTAAGATGAAGAAGCTGCTTATTCCCACAGAGCAGATATCTTGGCTTTTAATCTTACCTTGAAGAAGACACGGTTACACACAGAGCAGATATCCAGGATATGCTGGAGTTTGAAAGAGCAGTTCTGTATGGTGAAGCTAAGCAGCTTAGAGAATGGTTCAAGGATGTACTGTTAAAGATACAACGGTTCATGTATGTACTGTCAAAGTTACAATGGTTCATGTATGTACTGTTTAAGATACAATGGTTCATGTATGTACTGTCAAAGTTACAATGGTTCATGTATGTACTGTTTAAGATACAATGGTTCATGTATGTACTGTCAATGTTACAATGGTTCATGTATGTACTGTCAAAGTTACAATGGTTCATGTATGTACTGTTTAAGATACAATGGTTCATGTATGTACTGTCAAAGTTACAATGGTTCATGTATGTACTGTCAAAGATACAACGGTTCATGTATGTACTGTCAATGTTACAATGGTTCATGTATGTACTGTTTAAGATACAATAGTTCATGTATGTACTGTCAAAGTTACAATGGTTCATGTATGTACTGTCAAAGATACAACGGTTCATGTATGTACTGTCAATGTTACAATGGTTCAAGGATGTACTGTCAAAAATACAACGGTTCATGTATGTACTGTCAATGTTACAATGGTTCATGTATGTACTGTTTAAGATACAATAGTTCATGTATGTACTGTCAAAGTTACAATGGTTCATGTATGTACTGTCAAAGATACAACGGTTCATGTATGTACTGTCAATGTTACAATGGTTCAAGGATGTACTGTCAAAAATACAATGGTTCAAGTATGTACTGTCAAAGTTACAATGGTTCATGTATGTACTGTTTAAGATACAATGGTTCAAGTATGTACTGTCAAAGTTACAATGGTTCATGTATGTACTGTCAAAGATACAACGGTTCATGTATGTACTGTCAAAGATGAAAGAATGTTCGATTTAAACTTTCTCTCATTGTGAAAAATAAATTGTTGTAATCCTTAGTTCCTTGGAGCTCTTCCACTTTAACAATGTAAACATTTAGACCAAAAACTTTTGTTCTGAAAGACAAAAGGAAGTAGCTATTATCAATTTGTAAAAATACTTAACATCCTACACCTACTGACCCTGGCATTATTGATGCCTGACACTTTGAGGATGGCTAAGATGATTTTCAGGAGAGCTGTGGTATCACATGGGTTGGGCAATACAGTTGGTAACTTCCTCATGAAAATGTCAAACTGGCTGATGATGCTGGTCACCATTGGAGCCGAGGTTTCCAGGGAGATGTAGTTCATATAGGTGGAGAGATTGTTCAGGAGAAGGACTAAGTTCTCAGGAGGTGGCAGATTCTTACGATTGTTCAACCCCTAAAACATTGACCAAACCATGATTGATAGATCACTTTATTCAATCAATGAGAAACAAAACCTGACATGGATACTTGTCTACCTCTAATCTGGAATGACAATTTAAGATATGAAATTTTAGTAAAAATTTCAAACTGATAAATCTACTAAAACTGCATAAATCTTTTCCTGTCCCAAGCATTTCTTAAGTCAAATGTCATTCTATTAAATCTGACAAGTCTGTCTAGCTGGAAGGCTCCAGACATTTCATATCAAATTTGAAAACATGTATATATATACTTCTTACTAACAGGCCATATATATGACATTTGCTGATAAAGGTGATTTCTGAAATTCCGCTGAAGATTTACAACTACATACTGTTCTACAAGAGAACATGGAATACAGAGTGTTTAGCCTCTGGTATCACCACTTACCTCCAATAAAAACTGGATAGGAGCATGGCAGGTTAACTCATTGAAGTCCACCAATGCAGCTGCCATTGTCTTGAAAAATGGAGGATCTGAAAGTAAATCTTTATAATAGACACAGTCATGTTCAAAGACAATTTTACAGTAAGCAGCCATTTCTACTAAACAGGTAAAACAGATCTTTGTGAGATTTTATACATTTAATTAGTATCCAGCATATTAACATTTTTTGGACACATTTCAGGTGCATATTTTTCAATTTTTTATTTTCTAATCATCTGAGAAACGCTTTTTTTTTCGGTGTGATACCTTCAAGGTTACTCTGGAACAGCATTGGGAAGACTCCATTAGGGGCCAGTTGATGGAGGCAGCAACGCAGAAACTGGCGAGCAATGCTCACACTGTTACCTGGTACCATCAGGTTACTAGGAACAACAGTAAAAGTCATCAATATAATCTTCTTTGCTTCACTATATCATATACAACAACCAGCAGGAAAGCTTAAAATAATTATAACGTTGTCATAATTCCCTTTCTTAAATCTATATCATATTCAATCCCAATACTTAATGTATAGATCAACCTATTATGAATAACAGAAAAGTCATGGTCATCACTACTGGTAGGTTGGTTACATATTTTTTTTGTTCCATGCCTCTGTCTGTTGCTAGCTTTTCTGTCTCACCAACAGTCAGTGTTCTGTAGGTGTCATTGCCATTACAATGGGTAATAATGTGTTCCTTGTATATTAGACAATATATACTTTCTTCAGTTAAATTCCTTATAATCAAAGACATATTTCTTAAAGTAAAATTTCTTTTAAGCTAAAAGATCTAATTTTACACACAGTTCCATAAATACTTTATGACTACTATTGTGAGTATCCTGTAACATTTTACACGCTTACCTCTCTCCTTGCCAGACAAACGGGCTACTGGAAGCAATTCTGAAATGATAAAAAATCAATGTTTTCAAAAGTAGTACATTTCACATATCCTTCTCAGGTCCAATTAATTATAACAGCATGAGATGCTACTAAATTAATTTTATCAACTATCTACTTTTATGGGAGAATTCAATTCTTTTAGCTTGCAGAAATCATTAAGTCAGAGAGAAGGAAGAAATGAAGATAAAGTGGGAAATTATCAATTGTTTATGAAACAGACATTGTAGAATCTCCAACAAGTGGGGCATGGCTTATTCTTACATAGACACACTGTAAAGCCTCCGACAGAAGCAGATTGTCTTATGATTACCTGTACAGGTGCTGAAGGATACTTACTTAGACACACACTGTAGAGTCACAAACAGAAGGGGTGTGGCAAATAATTACCTGTACAGGTGCTGAAGGATACTTACTTAGACACACACTGCAGAGTCACAAACAGAAGGGGTGTGGCAAATAATTACCTGACACACACACACTGTAAAGCCTCTGAGAAAAGTGGATTATCTAATAATTACCTATACAGGTGCTGAAGGATACTTACTTAGACACACACTGTAGAGTCACAAACAGAAGGAGTGTGGCAAATAATTACCTGTACAGGTGCTGAAGGATACTTACTTAGACACACACTGTAAAGCCTCCGACAGAAGCGGATTGTCTAATAATTACCTATACAGGTGCTGAAGGATACTTACTTAGACACACACTGTAGAGTCACAAACAGAAGGGGTGTGGCAAATAATTACCTGTACAGGTGCTGAAGGATACTTACTTAGACACACACTGTAAAGCCTCCGACAGAAGCGGATTGTCTAATAATTACCTATACAGGTGCTGAAGGATACTTACTTAGACACACACTGTAGAGTCACAAACAGAAGGGGTGTGGCAAATAATTACCTGTACAGGTGCTGAAGGTTACTTACTTAGACACACACTGTAAAGTTTCCAGCAAAAGGGGTGTGGCTAGTGATGGTTCCCGATGGATAAATGTAGAAAGAACTACAATACAGTAACCAATAGTATCCTCATCGTACTGTTCCAGAATCGCATTACACTCTGGACAGCGTTCCACCATCACATTCTCACCGTACCGGGAGGAGGTCGGTTTCTTAAGAGTTTTCCTGTTAGTCACCTGCTCGTTCTTCCTTGATCTACGACTGTTGTAAAACAAAAAAGATAATCAAAGATTTGGATTCAGATCAGCAAACTTGTAATATATCAATAACAAGAGGTCTATAGGGCCTGTATTTCTCACCTGGTTTTGTTTGGCTGAAATTGCTGCATCCAAACTAAAGGAAAAGGAATTCTGAATTTCTAAGCACACAACACACACTATTCATTTTCTTCATGAGGCCACACTTCTCTGTCAGGGGGTCAGCTACACATTCTATGTTTTATACCATACTGGGATAGAATCCTGCCATTCCTACAGGAGAACTTTTAAAAAATTGCTCCATTGGGCCCTTCTAAACCCATGGACCGAGACCCACCTTTTATACAACATTTAATACCCTTCATCCAAGAATGCTTCAGCCCAAATTTTGGCAAAATGCCATCATTCCTACAGAAAAGTAGAATTTTAAAGAATTCGCTCTATTTCCCCGTTGTGCTCTACCTCCTAGAAGGCTAAGAACCACCATTTATACAAAATATGCTCTTCATCCTCCAAGGTTGCTTCTGACTAAATTTTGTCAAAATCTAGTCTGTCATACACTACTATTAAGCATTTGTAGAAAAAGTTTATGGACGATGGACAGCTTGGCATAAGTTTAATGGTCTTTCAGACCAGATGAACTAATATAACTTGACAGAATTTCAATAAGAAGAGAATCATGTCATGCAATGTAGCAAAATATGATCCCTTGTAAGGGCTAAACAGGAACTCCCACCACCCCTTCCTCCACTCTTGGATTTTGGCTTAAACAACTGTCACCCCCTAACCTCTAAAGAATTTACAGTTAATTCTATTAAGTTGTGTGATTTCTAGATATGTAAAAGATTTTTTAAAAGAATGAAAATTGACCTATTTAGAGCCCCTTAGCCCAGCTCCCTGGGTTTTAAATAAAAAAAAGCTTTACTATAAGAAAATCTCCCTTGAATGGTAACATGACTAATTGGTTATGTAAGGGGCATACCCTGTAGGTTTGTGTTCCTCCGGTGATGGTTCTGTCATATCAGGGTAAATCTTCTGGAGCTCTACAGTGGTTAATCCTGTCTTTCGTGCCTTCCTCTGACGGAAGTTTGGTTTGATGGTGTTACATCTGCCCGGCAAAGTCAGTAAATCTTGGTCACCTGCTGGACAAAGTTTATTGTTTAGTCCAGAGTGGACCCTTGGTAAAATTAACTCGTTTCTGGTAAACCAAACTTAACATCAAATGATAGCTACATCAGAATCAATGCAATATAGAGACAACAAAACTAAAATGTTTTCTCTGATTAATGAAATTTCCAGACTAATATCAAACAAGAAAGAAAATTAATCTTGTTAAGGGATAAATAAACTTTTAACTTCAATAAGATTTAAAAATAGGCAGATGAAGTTTAATTATATCAACAATACAAAGCATGAAAAAATAATTAAACTACTGAAGTATGGACTATTCCACTATCCTTCTCCCTATGCACACACCTTTGTTGTCAAGGACTACTGAGTTATCGACTATTCCACTATCCTTCTCCCTATGCACACACCTTTGTTGTCAAGGACTACTGAGTTATCGACTATTCCACTATCCTTCTCCCTATGCACACACCTTTGTTGTCAAGGACTACTGAGTTACCGACTATTCCACTATCCTTCTCCCTATGCACACACCTTTGTTGTCAAGGACTACTGAGTTATCGACTATTCCACTATCCTTCTCCCTATGCACACACCTTTGTTGTCAAGGACTAATGAGTTATGGACTATTCCACTATCCTTCTCCCTATGCACACACCTTTGTTGTCAAGGACTACTGAGTTATGGACTATTCCACTATCCTTCTCCCCTTGCACACACCTTTGTTGTCAAGGACTACTGAGTTATGGACTATTCCACTATCCTTCTCCCTATGCACACACCTTTGTTGTCAAGGACTACTGAGTTATGGACTATTCCACTATCCTTCTCCCCTTGCACACACCTTTGTTGTCAAGGACTACTGAGTTATGGACTATTCCACTATCCTTCTCCCTATGCACATACCTTTGTTGTCAAGGACTACTGAGTTATGGACTATTCCACTATCCTTCTCCCCATGCACATACCTTTGTTGTCAAGGACTACTGAGTTATGGACTATTCCACTATCCTTCTCCCCATACACATACCTTTATTTTCTTCCTGTGTCATATCACCTCCAGAGTCTGTATGTTTCTCTGAATCGTCTGCATCAGATGTTGTCTGTGTCTTCTCGCTATCCTCTGCACTTTCAATCTCAGACATCCCTCCATGACTTATATCGGCTGTGGTTGTTGTGGTTGACCGAGAACTAGATCCATCCGTGATGCTGCTACTGACAGATCGAGCCCCCTTGCTACTGAGGTATGCTGGGATGACAGACACTGGTTCCACAACAGCACTGCCACTTTTACTATTCAGATTGGTTTTATCTGTTGCACTCTCTGTCAATATGTCTGATTTTGAAGTAGAAAATGCCTGGAGTTGTTGTGCCATGATACTCTCCACAGTAGAGGGTGAAACTGGCTTCTCTTCTGTAGGCGTGGTCAGTATTTTAGCTGGAGATGGTGACCGGCCAGCAGGTGTAGTGGGTTGTGGGATCGGAGTGGTGGGTGAGCGGGCAAGAGGGGACAATGGGCGGGCACGTACAGCTCGAGAATGGTGAATACCTCCTCCACTTTTCTCCTGCAATGAAGTCAACCATTGACTGGGAATAAAAGATGTCTAACAAAACACACACTGACATCTAATAACAACCTGCTTTTAATCCACATATTGCAGTGAGAGTAATAACTGATGATACAGGTATTAGCAGTGAGAAAAAATCCATTTAGAAAATGTCAGCTAACATGAATATCTTTATGAATATCAGTGACAATGTTTGACAAACTCATATGAAGTATTGTCACAGCTGTTGTTTATCAAAATCCTGTGAAATGTGATCACTAAGGAGATGTCATTGATTTCGGACAGGACAGGATGGACAATGGTAACAAAAGTATATATTCCCACATAAAATTGTGAGGTCACATTGAAGTCTCCTATGTAGCCACTTGGGTAATACTTCTTTTGTTTATTTTCACAGCAGATGTCAGATTAGTCATATGTAAGTCACTATCACCATTATTTGGCTTCCCTTACCTTGAGCGACTGACTTTCTTCCTTAACCTTTGACCCTTTGCCACTCCCCATATCTGGTTCATTATACTCTATGATCTTGCGTGGTTTGCGTTGTCGGACAGGTCGTTTGGGCGTGTCTGTTGTCTCCTCCACACTCTGCTCTCTAATAGGGAAGCAGCCCCCTGTGGCTCCCCCTTCCTTAGTGTAGGATACTGTACTAGTCTCGGAGGGGGTCTTCAAGTTCATTGCCACAGTTTCCTTAGATTTTGGGCTCTGTGGTGGGGTTTCTGTTTCTTGAATTTTCTCAAGGTCGTTACTCATTTTATTGTCTGCATATCAACAAAATATCTTTGATGATAAGGTTCCATATCCTAATACATTAACTGAGAATTATTGGGTCATAAAAATGTAAGTTTTAATTCTGTGAAAAGCTGAAATAGTCAAAGCAGCCGTTTTACCAACAATATCACTGACAGTAAACATTTACCAGTTACATCACAGGAAGTAAACACACTTACCTTTACTTCTGACATGAAGTAAACACACTTACCTTTACTTCTGACAACAGAGGGACTTGGAGGTGGAAAGCCGTCATCATGTGAGGTCTTACAATGATGATGTTGAGCATCTAAAGTATTGATCACAATGCGGATCAGAGTCTGTATGATGGCTGACACAGGGGAGGTATAGAACTGGTACTGTCAACACAGCAGTCAAATTTTACAATACAATCACAAAAAATACTTCATCAAAGTATCGTATGAAGTAGTCACTGAAAAAGGTTTCACATCCTATATATGTTACACTCCAACAACCTAGTCTGTACGTACACATTTGTTTATAAAGGTCTAGGACATGATATAGATGATGATATCCTGGATAAACAGCTGCACTGACTTGGTGATCACAAGGTACAATACAGTTCACTATCACCAAATCTGGTACATGTAGCTGACATTCAAACATCACTTAGAATGTACCTTCATATCAAAATTACATAAATCAAAGGGAAATAGTAACAGATGTCTAATCTGGAAGACATTCAAGTCAGAAAGAAGGACAGAAAACAGAACTGAGGTGTAGAAATTGAACGCTTATTTTCATATAGAGTTTGATGAGCAGGACAAATGAGTATACAGCCAGGAAAAACAAGTATACAGCCAAGAGATAGGAGTGTGTAGCAGGACAAATGAGTATACAGCCAGGAAAAACAAGTATACAGCCAAGAGATAGAAGTGTGTAGCAGGACAAATGAGTATACAGCCAGGAAAAACAAGTATACAGCCAAGAGATAGGAGTGTGTAGCAGGACAAATGAGTATACAGCCAGGAAAAACAAGTATACAGACAAGAGATAGGAGTGTGTAGCAGGACAAATGAGTATACAGCCAGGAAAAACAAGTATACAGCCAAGAGATAGGAGTGTGTAGCAGGACAAATGAGTATACAGCCAGGAAAAACAAGTATACAGCCAAGAGATAGGAGTGTGTAGCAGGACAAATGAGTATACAGCCAGGAAACAAGTATACAGCCAAGAGATAGGAGTGTGTAGCAGGACAAATGAGTATACAGCCAGGAAAAACAAGTATACAGCCAAGAGATAGGAGTGTGCAGCAGGACAAATGAGTATACAGCCAGGAAAAACAAGTATACAGCCAAGAGATAGGAGTGTGTAGCAGGACAAATGAGTATACAGCCAGGAAAAACAAGTATACAGCCAAGAGATAGGAGTGTGTAGCAGGACAAATGAGTATACAGCCAAGAGATAGGAGTGTGTAGCAAGACAAATGAGTATACAGCCAGGAAAAACAAGTATACAGCCAAGAGATAGGAGTGTGTAGCAGGACAAATGAGTATACAGCCAGGAAAAACAAGTATACAGCCAAGAGATAGGAGTGTGTAGCAGGACAAATGAGTATACAGCCAGGAAAAACAAGTATACAGCCAAGAGATAGGAGTGTGCAGCAGGACAAATGAGTATACAGCCAGGAAAAACAAGTATACAGCCAAGAGATAGGAGTGTGTAGCAGGACAAATGAGTATACAGCCAGGAAAAACAAGTATACAGCCAAGAGATAGGAGTGTGTAGCAGGACAAATGAGTATACAGCCAGGAAACAAGTATACAGCCAAGAGATAGGAGTGTGTAGCAAGACAAATGAGTATACAGCCAGGAAAAACAAGTATACAGCCAAGAGATAGGAGTGTGTAGCAGGACAAATGAGTATACAGCCAGGAAAAACAAGTATACAGCCAAGAGATAGGAGTGTGTAGCAGGACAAATGAGTATACAGCCAGGAAAAACAAGTATACAGCCAAGAGATAGGAGTGTGCAGCAGGACAAATGAGTATACAGCCAGGAAACAAGTATACAGCCAAGAGATAGGAGTGTGTAGCAGGACAAATGAGTATACAGCCAGGAAAAACAAGTATACAGCCAAGAGATAGGAGTGTGTAGCAGGACAAATGAGTATACAGCCAGGAAAAACAAGTATACAGCCAAGAGATAGGAGTGTGCAGCAGGACAAATGAGTATACAGCCAGGAAACAAGTATACAGCCAAGAGATAGGAGTGTGTAGCAGGACAAAAGAGTATTCAGCCAGGCAAAACAGGTTTAGAAATCTAGGTATAACAGTAATACCTACCTTGTAGAGTATGACTAGCAGAGTTGACAACCAGGAGATACGAGTGTGGGGTTCCAGGAACCACAGTGTATAGTTGGGTGGCTGGTAGTCACTGGCATAGCGCTGCGGAGATGGACTGTACTGGAGAAGCAGCAATGTAATTGGCAGGATAGTGTTTCCCAGGGTAAAGTTACGATCAAGAACCTGTAACAAACAAACCATCATAGGGAACTAATAATCACACTTGGAATATTTAGAAAAAATTGCTCTTTTTGAAGGAGAAGGATTTTAAACAATTTGCGTAATTTCTCCTATTGGTACCCTTTTATACAAAATTTCGCCCCTCTTCCCAAAAGGATAGTTCTGACCAAATTGAGAAGAAGTCATTTAAACATTTTACCTGTGACCCTGAAAGTGGGTCAATGTCATTCATATTAACTAGGAGTCAAATCAATTTTCTGACTTTAAGAAATGATTCTCCACTCACAATGATGTTTTAGACTAAATTTGGTTGAAATCCATTCAAGCATGAAAAACGAGTAGCATTTTGAAGCAAAATATTGACTAACTTTCCATTTGGGGCACTGCCCATCACCAGGTTCCTAGGGGTTAAATCAAGTTTCTGAATTTAAGAAATGATTCTCCACTCTCAATGTTGTTTCACACCAAATTTGGTTGAAATCCATTTAAACGTTAAGAAAGAATAGTGTTCTGAAGCAAAGTATTGTCTAATTTCCCCTTTTTTATGCATGAAAGAGAATTAGGGTATCAATGAAAAAGTTTACACAAGATGCAAAGTGCACAACGACAGACAAAGCACAATTGCTAAAAATTCAAACTTCCAAGGCAAGTTTCATAAAATCATATATGAAACAAAAAAAAAAATCCAAAAGTGATCTTGGTGCCCACCATTTTTTGCTTTCTGTTCTATTTTCTCCTCCATTTTTCATCTTAAAATATCTACATATGAAATTTGAAAAAAGATTCATGTGGTAGCTCTCAAGAAATAGCAATGATTGTTTATTGCCAAAATCCAAGATGGCCTCCTGTCTTCAAGACACCAAAGGTAACTTACATATAAAATTTGAGAACAATCCATCCTGTGCTTTTACACAACAAGCAATAACAAGGATTGTTTTCAGACAGACGTACCATGAACAATCCATCCTGTGCTTTTACACAACAAGCAATAACAAGGATTGTTTTCAGACAGACGTACCATGAACAATCCATCCTGTGCTTTTACACAACAAGCAATAACAAGGATTGTTTTCAGACAGACGTACCATGAACAATCCATCCTGTACTTTTACAGAACAAGCAATAACAAGGATTGTTTTCAGACAGACATACCATGAACAATCCATCCTGTACTTTTACAGAACAAGCAATAACAAGGATTGTTTTCAGACAGACATACCATGAACAATCCAAGCTGTACTTTTACAGAACAAGCAATAACAAGGATTGTTTTCAGACAGACGTACCATGAACAATCCAACCTGTACTTTTACAGAACAAGCAATAACAAGGATTGTTTTCAGACAGACATACCATGAACAATCCATCCTGTACTTTTACAGAACAAGCAATAACAAGGATTGTTTTCAGACAGACATACCATGAACAATCCAAGCTGTACTTTTACAGAACAAGCAATAACAAGGATTGTTTTAAGACAGACGTACCATGAACAATCCAACCTGTACTTTTACAGAACAAGCAATAACAAGGATTGTTTTCAGACAGACGTACCATAGACATAGGGGAACAATCTGATGATGGAGGGCTCATGAAAACAAGTTTTTTGATACTTCTTATCATAGAACTCAGTAAGTTACAGATGGCAGATCTAAAGTCAACATGTAGAGGAAGATATTGATCCACTTTCAATTCATAACATAACACAACTGTCCATTTTATGATTTCTGATTGCACAGCCAATGAAAAACGCTCTAAGTTATAATGCACTAGTGATTCCAGGTGCTAATTTACTGAATTACAGACTGGTTATGTCACCATCCACAGAGTCGTAGAGAAATAACAATACTTACAGCAGGAACTCCTGACAGAAAAGCATTGAACACTGCTGACGTTCTGAAAATAAAGTAAACAAGATTTCAATTAATCTAACAGCATCAATTCCTTAACACTGAATGATCAGTAAGGTCAGAGGAGTCACATCTATGATATTTTAACAGCACATGCTATGATTTAAGTTGACAGAAGGAGGAAAAGACAATAACCTGAGTTTGTTTGGAGGTACACTGAAGGACTTCTCTGTCTGATTATAGCCCAGCAAGATGTTCAGATGTCTCAGTACAACATTCTGAAAAAAAAACATATCCATTTTAAACTACAGTATAATTATCATACTCATACACTACTGTATAATTATCATACTCATAAACTACTGTATAATTATCATACTCATAAACAACAGTATAATTATCATACTCATAAACAACAGTATAATTATCATACTCATAAACAACAGTATAATTATCATACTCATAAACTACAGTATAATTATCATACTCATAAACAACAGTATAATTATCATACCTACAAACTACAGTATAATTATCATACTCATAAACTACAGTATAATTATCATACTCATAAACTACAGTATAATTATTATACTTATAAACTACAGTATAATTATTATACTCATAAACTACAGTATAATTATCATACTCATAAACTACAGTATAATTATCATACTCATAAACTACAGTATAATTATCATACTCATAAACTACAGTATAATTATCATACTCATAATAATTATCATACTCATAAACAGTATAATTATCATACTCATAAACATACAGTATAATTATCATACCTACAACACATACTGTATAATTATCATACTCATAAACAACAGTATAATTATCATACTATAAACTACAGTATAATTATCTCATAAACAACAGTATAATTATCATACCTACAAACTACAGTATAATTATCATACCTACAAACTACAGTATAATTATCATACTCATAAACTACAGTATAATTATCATACTCATAAACAACAGTATAATTATCATACCTACAAACTACAGTATAATTATCATACTCATAAACAACAGTATAATTATCCTACTCATAAACTACTGTATAATTATCATACATAAACTCAGTAATTAATACTCATAAACACAATTATCATACTCATAAACAGTATAATTATCATACTCATAAACTACAGTATAATTATCATACTCATAAACTACAGTATAATTATCATACTCATAAACTACAGTATAATTATCATACTCATAAACTACAGTATAATTATCCTACTCATAAACTACAGTATAATTATCATACCTACAAACTACTGTATAATTATCATACTCATAAACAACAGTATAATTATCCTACTCATAAACAACAGTATAATTATCATACTCATAAACGACAGTATAATTATCATACTCATAAACTACAGTATAATTATCACATCCAAAGCAATGTATAATTATGAAAATTTTTTTCAATTCACAAAAATACCTAATATAATGCATTTTCATGGGGACAAGGTCTTTAATTAAGACATAGTTTCATAAGCTTTATCTACTTTATCAAACTACATTTACATAATTTGTAATTAAAACTAAAAACCTGTGTCTTGCTGGAGTTCTTATCATCATTGTCATGTTCACTCTTCACCATGAACTGCAAATAAAATAAATTTCTGCCTTTAATTCACCAGGAAGTGAAGTTCTACAATTAAACAATGTCAAGATGGTTGACTAAATTCACAAGATATCTGAACTTTAACCTTCATACAATGCAGCTCTCCTGACCAAATTCTTTTAACTGCCAATGAATGAGGGAGTGAACAAACTATCTATCTATCTGTCTCATCTGTCTGTCTGCCTGTCTATCTTGTCTGTCTATCTTGTCTGTCTGTCTGTCTGTCTGTCTGTCTATCTTGTCTATCTTGTCTGTCTGTCTGTCTATCTTGTCTGTCTGCCTGTCTATCTTGTCTGTCTGTCTGTCTATCTTGTCTGTCTGTCTGTCTGTCTAGCTGTCTGTCTGTCTGTCTTATCTATCTATCTATATCTATCTATGTAATAGTTCATCTGTTTTTCTGATTTATGTTTTGCTATTAAATCCTTCCAGCAGACAAACTTGCTAGATTGGTTGGGTATGTTTAATGAGGCTTGACGTCTGTCCTTGTTCCAGTTATAACTGGGCCATAGACTACATCTATCCAGAGAAGACACACATGCTTTATACATATAGTGAAATCTGTGACCTCTGACCTTCATCAAGAGGTTGACCAGTGTGTAGACAGTGTCTCTGTCCACTCCCTCCATATCCATTGCTTTCTGCAGCAGGGCAGTGAAGTTACTCTCCTCATCTGTAAATTCCTTCAGCTGGCCACCTGTCAAATCACAACATTACAAATTCTAGTTAGAGTAATTTTCTAAACTGTTGTTAAACAGTTTACAACAAATTAGTTATTTCATATTACTGGTTGATGTATACATCATGTTGTAAATATAAAGAACCTGATTTCTCAAAATCTGACCATATCCAGCCTACCATAAACAAATTCCTACCTAAAGCCCTGAGGTTGTCTTATTGCAGGACTGTAAAATTTTGTAATTCTTTTAAACTGTAGTACATGGATGGGTTTATATATGGTGCAATAATATAAAGATATTTTTCTTTTAAAGCCCTTTTTTATTACATGTTTCTGGGAAAGGAAAAGGGTTGATCTACTTGGTTAAAGCATATTCACCCAAACCAACACATACCTGGGAACATCATGTTACCAAAAGTGCCCATGTTCAGTTTAGTGGTCATTCGTCGTCCCAAGTTGAAGTATGGCTCTGACTGCTGTCTGATACAGGATTTCTCCTTCGCCTGGTCTACTGATGATTACAAACAACTATATCAGTACAGAGAGCCTTGGTACACTGCCATATATGTCCAGGAGAGTATCAGAATTAAGAAAAGGCAAGGCTACAGAGCAATGGAGACAAATAAAGGATCGTGTAGAGAACAGGAAAATAGTGACATTTAGATACAACAGTAGTAAGTTCAGTAGTAAATAAATAATAGAGACTATAGAAAGATTATATATAAGAAAGGAGCATTGAACTGAGGTTTTAATAAAAGTATATATATATCTGTACATAGCAGGTATGTTGTAGTATTACAAGGCTGCATCATGTTGATATCTGTAAGGCTACAATAATGTTTATAATGAACAGGTTTTTTTTAGTTGAAAATTGGGTAAGGTCTTATTTTGATCAATCTTTAACTTTTCTTAAAAACTCCTCTTCCTAAACAGAAATTTTTGAACACTAAAGAACTATGAAAAATTCTCCCATATCTTGTTTGGAATCAGATTCATCAGTTTGACTAAGATTTGATGACAGCTCACTATTCAGTGAATGGACATCAATGTAATGACAACTTGTCACTTTGCATTTTTGTCCCAATAACACTTTTATACTGTAGGCAGACTTAGAGATGGTTGATGGTTCATCCATTCTGCCCTTTACTGCGAAAAGTCACATCAGCACACCCATGTGGCCACACAACACCGTCGAACATCTATTAATGCATCCTAAGGACAAAGTAGCAAAAGAAGACAAAACGGGTGTGGTTTACCGTGCAACAGCTGCAATCAGTTACAACGAATGACGACTCAGGGACTGGAACTCATCTCGATGAACATCAAAAGGACATAGTTTAAGAGTTTCATCTTGCTATCAGGGGTTTGATGCCCCCCAATGAAGATAAAATGGTAAGGTTCATCCGCCCAACCATGTCGGTTTTCTCAAATACTGTTTGTTGTCACAGTAAGATTCCTCCTACCATTACATCAGTACCAACAACATTGATAAGTTGAAATAACTTGTTTCACAATTATTGGAAAATAAATGACATTTACATTATATATTTGTACAAGAGTGCTATTGGTATGAAATGTGGCATGACAATTTAGCAGCTGATATTACACTCGCATCCATTTGCTGAATAGTAAACTATCATCAAGACCATAGGAATTTTTGTAAAAAGGCTGCCCTGACACACACAATCTAGTACAATTTTAAAATCCTGTCACCTGTATCTAAAGTTACGAGTCTTCGAGGCACATTCATGATTTATGGAGTTTACAACTCATTGTCCACCTTATAAGGATTTTGGTGAAAATTTATCACATCATTTACAGTCTTCACACTTACAAAAAGAAACAATCATACTTAACCATATTCAACAGTTATTTGAAAGTTTCAACTTACCCATGGCACTATACCATACAAAATACAATTTTTAAATGAAATAAATGGTATACCTTGTAATAAAGTATTGGATTGTGGTGGTGGGTTATACAGGATTCAGGTGCATTGTAATGGGTTGTGGTGAAGTGTTATTATCCACATGGATAATAAGACAGGTAGAGATAGATTGTGGTGGTGGGTTATACAGGGCTCTGGTGGGTTGTAATGGGTTGTGGTGAAGTGTTATTATCCACATGGATAATAAGACAGGTAGAGATAGATTGTGGTGGTGGGTTATACAGGGCTGTGGTGGGTTGTAATGGGTTGTGGTGAAGTGTTATTATCCACATGGATAATAAGACAGGTAGAGGTGGATTGTGTTGGTGGGATATACAGGGCTCTAGTGAGTTGTAATGGGTTGTGGTGAAGTGTTATTATCCACATGGATAATAAGACAGGTAGAGGTGGATAGTGGTGATGGGTTATACAGGGCTCTGGTGGGTTGTAATGGGTTGTGGTGAAGTGTTATTATCCATATGGAAAATAAGACAGGTAGAGGTGGATAGTGGTGGTGGGTTATACAGGGCTCTGGTGGGATTATAAGTAGAAGTAAGGAACACAACATTAGTTTGTTAACATCACTAAACACACAAAGTTCCAAGTAGATTCAGTACAACAAAATCAAAGGTCTATCTTCATTTTTGTAATATTTTCTAAATCACAAGATCTCTTAAAAGGCCTATAGAGAGCAACACTGTCACTCTTGTTCATAAAGTGTTTTCAGAGAAGGTATTTGTTGAGAAGTAGCCTTTTCACCTACAGGTACTCTTTGAGAAGTAACCTTTTCATCTACAGGTATTTGTTGAGAAGTAGCCTTTTCACCTACAGGTATTTGTTGAGAAGTAGCCTTTTCACCTACAGGTATTTGTTGAGAAGAACTTTTTCATCTACAGGTATTTGTTGAGAAGCAACATTTTCACCTACAGGTATTTGTTGAGAAGTAGCCTTTTCATCTACAGGTATTTGTTGAGAAGCAACATTTTCACCTACAGGTATTTGTTGAGAAGTAGCCTTTTCACCTACAGGTATTTGTTGAGAAGTAGCCTTTTCACCTACAGGTACTCTTTGAGAAGTAACCTTTTCATCTACAGGTATTTGTTGAGAAGTAGCCTTTTCACCTACAGGTATTTGTTGAGAAGAACTTTTTCATCTACAGGTATTTGTTGAGAAGTAGCCTTTTCACCTACAGGTATTTGTTGAGAAGAACTTTTTCATCTACAGGTATTTGTTGAGAAGCAGCATTTTCATCTACAGGTACTCTTTGAGAAGTAGCCTTTTCACCTACAGGTATTCATTGTTTTTTTCAATTACAGGTACTTGATCAGAAGAAGTGATTTCTTCACTTACAGGTACTTGATCAGAAGAAGTGATTTCTTCACTTACAGGTACTTGATCAGAAGAGGCTTTTGTATAGATAGTACAGAAAGTAAGAAATTCAGATAGAAAGTATTGTACAGGAGAAACCCTTCTCACATCAACGTTTTTGAGGAGAAACATCAGTTCACCAAGAGCAGCAAGAAGTTCCACATTTGTCAAAAGACACTTTTAAGTAAATGTATTAACATAATAAATATGTAAATATTGAAATACAAGGTAGAAAACTGGATGTGATGTATACACTTCTCAGAATGGGAAATGACACACAAAATGCCAGAAAACATCTAGAGTTACACAGTGTAGTCTTGTAATCTTAATCTTGTCAGTAGTAAATTTTGTATCATTCAATTCCTTAGTAAAATAAGTAGATGTATCTTTTTCATACAGATCCACTAGCTGTGAGAAATAATATATAATCTTGGAATCCACCAACATGTTTACAACAAAGTCAACAATTCAATTCAAAAGAAAATGGAGGTAACTTGTTAAATTATGTAAATGAAAAAAAAATCTATAAAATAAAATGGTTGAAAAAATCCATAATAAAATAATGATATGTATATCGAAACAAATACATTTACATACCAAATAAGGTTATGTTAATAATAAAGACCCACATAAAATAATGTGAACATGTACAGGAGTTACATCTCAATGAGTATTATTGTAACACTAAATGTCCAGATGTCTACTGGGACATCAGAACTGAAATAAAAAGACTGATTAGGTTAAATCAGGACTCTGCAACCCAAAGTGACTGTTAATGATGACACACGTGAAGCAGAGCTATAAGTAAGGGGTCACAAGAAGGAGTCTCTAATAACACTACAATTAAAGCTTATTTTTGATATGATGCAAATTGATATAAAACCCCTTGTTATTAACTCCCCTTGAGGGACCCCTGTTAATGACTCCCCCTTGTGACCCCCTGTTAATGACAGTGTGGTACCAGCAGCCAACACCAAGAAGCACCACCCAGGAGCACAGGACTTACAATGGAGTTTATGTAAGTGAATCTTCCATTTATGGTGGTGATGAGCTGAAACACAGACACACAAAACATGGCAGCAGGAATCTCCTAGCCACTGTGACCTTCCAGTCAAATGGCCAACAATGCAAATATGTCCAAGCTATTTCAAATTTCAATATCTATCCAAGGTTTAACCAATATTTGTCAGAAAATCAGCATGACACCATTGTGACAAGCAATTGTTGAACCCCATACATAATAATATCTGCGAAAGGTGGAATCAAGAAAATATTCTCATCACAGTCAAAGGGGACAGACAGAGACTCATAGCCAACTAGGAAACATATCAACTTACAGGGTAAGTTTACTTATCTACAGAAAGTATACAGAGACCCATTCAGCATTAAGATTTTGTTTCAGTAATATTTTCAAGAGATACTTTCTAGTTGAGATAATTTTGATTCTGATTCAACATTCCTGACAAGTCAGATTCATCTGAGACAGCAATGTCATCCTGTAAAATGTTCAATTGGAAATAATAACTATACCAAATGTGATTTCTTATGCTAATCTTATCGTATTGAAAAGATATCACACTATAATATTGTGTACTGTAATAGAGATGATGGCAGTCAAATTCTGTGTGAAATATCATGTGTTAATTTACGGACAATTCTAATACAGCAATAAAAGAACCCATATATCAAAATTCTTCTCTTCTATATGAACTGAGTATCAGACAAATATTGGAAGAACATTTATTGACAGCTGGTACATACGTTTGGGAGGTGTTGTCTTGGTGATGAGATGCATGGGGACAGACACTGCTCGACGGTATGGGGGTTTCCCATTCATACTCGTGCTAAGAGACCGGATACTGTCTGTTCGCGCCATGGCAAACCTGGCTCTATTGATCTTACGTAGAAAGTGCTCACTCTCCCTATCACTGCTGGTTAGATCTGTAATACATAAAAAGGAGTCATTGCCAACTGATTAAAAATGGCATGTGTCTTATTTAGTTGTTAATAATAATTGTATCAGAAAATGTTTCATCTAATTTCAAGAGACACAAATCATTCCACATGAGACTTGTGTGTTGGTGAGGGGGGTATACCTGTGGGACAGGCAATGTCCCCATTGTTCTCCAAGTCCAGCTGAGCCTCCAGGGACAGACTGTCAAAGCGAGCCAGGAAAAACTCCCAGGACAGAATCTTCTGGTCTTTTAGTACATTGGCAAGCAGCTGCATTCGCTGCAGTATCATGATCCGGTCAGAGATGACGTGGTCAAACTGGAACTCCATACACTGACAGAGACACTACAGAAATACCAAACATATTGTAATCACTTGATAAACTTGTGAAAATCTCATCACTGATGGAGACATAGTACATAACCAAAAAGTGAAATCCATTATAACCTCACTTCCTTTAAATATGCCCTCTATTTATCAAACTGATCGTTCAGTACCGACTGTGTCCTTGAATGAATCTTGATATTTAAACTGTTATTCCTTGAATACCCTACATTTCACTGACTCATTTTCATCCTCTTCCTGTCTTGTTCATAGTATTTCCCCTTTCTATTTGTTGAATAGGTGTCATGCTCACCAAATTTTACCTGTGTTACATAGAACTATTTACAACTTCAATGTACCAGTCCGACTACTTTCTGAGTTTATACAGGTGTCCGAGAGGACTACAGAAAATTACAGGATTAACAGTGGCTTGATTACATACCTATATTGTCATCTGCTATGTAGTACCATTGTTTTGAATTTGAATTTTTCCGTTAATGAAATTACCAAGAATAACAAACTTTACAAATTTCTTTTCACTAAAATCCAAGACATTGAATTTATGAGAAGTAAAAGCATCATCAAAATCTTAAATAGGACTAATAAAAGATAGAGGTTTAGGTATATTGTTCACAGACACTGGGGATTCACAAAATCTTAAATAGGACTAATAAAAGATAGAGTTTTAGGTATATTGTTCACAGACACTGGGGATTCACAAAATCTTAAATAGGACTAATAAAAGATAAGAGTTTTAGGTATATTGTTCACAGACACTGGGGATCTCTTAAATAGGACTAATAAAAGATAGAGTTTTAGGTATATTGTTCACAGACACTGGGGATTCACAAAATCTTAAATAGGACTAATAAAAGATAGAGTTTTAGGTATATTGTTCACAGACACTGGGGATTCACAAAATCTTAAATAGGACTAATAAAAGATAGAGTTTTAGGTATATTGTTCACAGACACTGGGGATTCACAAAATCTTAAATAGGACTAATAAAAGATAGAGTTTTAGGTATATTGTTCACAGACACTGGGGATTCACAAAATCTTAAATAGGACTAATAAAAGATAGAGTTTTAGGTATATTGTTCACAGACACTGGGGATTCACAAAATCTTAAATAGGACTAATAAAAGATAGAGTTTTAGGTATATTGTTCACAGACACTGGGGATTCACAAAATGCTAACTGAGGGTCTTTGATCTGACCTCTGATTACTCAAACACCCCATATTCCTCAAACTATTATCCCAAGGATCTGACAAGAAAAATCTTCAGCTGGAAAAATTTCCATAGAAGAAAAGCATAAAACAAGTGTGTTAAGGTTCATCTTCTTGGCTCCAGGATGATACCTAGTGATATATATACACAGATATATCATTTAGCTAACTAGTGCATTTATAGGGGCTTATCAACAATACCTAACAGATAATGAAGAGTTCAGAACAGACACATGTACATGATATTCTTCTAAAATTATCAGATATATGAAAATTCACAGAATTTATTGAATTATGGCTCTGTTGCACCTCCCCATCCAGATTTTGCCTTTACTTTCAATATCTTTGCATTTTTCTTAGTCACCTCATAGGTATCAAAACTTGAATTCTTGATGTCACTGACGAGTCCTTAAAGGATAAAACAGCTGTATGATGCAGTATAAATAATTGTTTCACTCTAATGTTTCTAACTTGAAAAATTGTATTTAAAGGTGCTATTCACTTGAATTTTGTATAATCTTTTTAAATGAAAAAGAAAAGGAATATTCACTTTCTAAGTAATTACAATGACTGAGTTTGATGGATCCGTCTATAAGCCTACCTTTACAGAAGATGTTTTAATGGTTTCCAAGTACTGTATAGTTCTCTGTGCTATGGCAGCATTGATATCAACAAGAGAGCCGATGAGGAGACAGAAAGCGTGTGCCAGAGCAGTCTGTATGACCTGGTTATGTTGTATGGTCTCTCTGTCCAGTAACCTTGCTAACACAATCACCTTCTCCACTGTCAAACACAAATATGAACACAAACACAAATACTAATAAAGGCACGGTCTTATTTTTGTCCCTTTGTAGAGACAAAATTTTATATTTACATGATAAATATTTCTCTTAAATGTTGTTTAAAGTAAAACATTACTGATTTTAAAACTTACAAACATATATATTCTAAAACAAACATAATACCAGTTTGACGATTTCAACATTAAAGAAGAGTTCCAGTTTGACCTACAATCTTCTGTGCTAGAGCAGTCATTGTCAATTATTTGACACAGCATGATTCTTTAGCTCAGTTAGTGGAGCACATAGCAATATCAGGAATGTGTTTTTTCAATGTTCTCTTTCACAATATGAGACATACTATTACTAAAAATGTGATGTAACTTAAGTAGGTGACATACCAGCGGCAAACCTGCATCGCCAATCATCAGAACTGAAGTCATCTTCCACAAGTTTCCAGAAAATGTCAGCTCCTGTTGGCAGTGTAAGGCAGTGTAACAGTAATGGTACACACACTGAGGCTAGGTGGGAGTGCTTGGCTTTTAACAGCTTCCAAAGACTGAAAACATAGGATAGGCTTGGATATGAAGTGTTTGGACTAAGTTGTGTATAAAGTGCACTCAGACTGGAGAAGAAGCATATGGATAGGCTTGGATATGAAGTATTTGAACTTACTTGGGTATAAAGTGCTTGGAAAGACAATACTTGACGAAGTCTGGACACTGGTTGATGGTGTAGTTGAGACACTCGCCGTGAAGAATTAAGTATTTCATAGACACAAGCAGAGAGTACAGGGCATCTGTGTCGGATAACTTGCACAGTTCCTGATCAACAGAAAGACATTGCATAAAATTCAGGTTTTAGGTTTACTGCTCAAATAACCTTAATGATAGGGAAGTACAAACTGTATATATCATCAGCACTTAGTCTATATCACTACTTAACTGTTCTGTCTTATATATATCATCAGCACTTAGTCTATATCACTACTTAACTGTTCTGTCTTATCATCAGCACTTAGGCTATATCACTACTCTACTGTTCTGTCTTATATATATCATCAGCACTTAGCCTATATCACTACTCAACTGTTCTGTCTTATCATCAGCACTTAGTCTATATCACTACTCTACTGTTCTGTCTTAAATATATAATCAGCACTTAGCCTATATCACTACTCTACTGTTCTGTCTTATATATATCATCAGCACTTAGTCTATATCACTACTCAACTGTTCTGTCTTATATATATAATCAGCACTTAGTCTATATCACTACTCAACTGTTCTGTCTTATATATATCATCAGCACTTAGTCTATATCACTACTCAACTGTTCTGTCTTATCGTCAGCACTTAGTCTATATCACAACTCAACTGTTCTGTCTTATATATATAATCAGCACTTAGTCTATATCACTACTTTACTGTTCTGTCTTATATATATCATCAGCACTTAGTCTATATCACTACTCTACTGTTCTGTCTTATATATATCATCAGCACTTAGTCTATATCACTACTCAACTGTTCTGTCTTATATATATCATCAGCACTTAGTCTATATTACTACTCTACTGTTCTGTCTTATCGTCAGCACTTAGCCTATATCACTACTCTACTGTTCTGTCTTATATATATCATCAGCACTTAGTCTATATTACTACTCTACTGTTCTGTCTTATCGTCAGCACTTAGTCTATATTACTACTCTACTGTTCTGTCTTATACCTTGTATTACAATATTTATGATCAGATGCTGAACACAAAGTTTGGTTTCGGAGGCTACAGACTAGTCTTGTGTTAAGTTTCAGTGATTTTCTCTATGCTTAAAGCTATACATCAGCTTTGTTTCACACACTTAAGACTGGTTTGATGTTTTTGTGAAAAAAATCAACTTAAAACAAGGAAGCTCCACACTAGCCATATCTTAAGTAACAGCCCATTATAATCAGGTAACTTTTAACAGAGAAGCTCCACACTAGCCATATCTTAAGTAACAGCCCATTATAATCAGGTAGCTTTTAACAGAGAAGCTCCACACTAGCCATATCTTAAGTAACAGCCCATTACAATCAGGTAACTTTTAACAGAGAAGCTCCACACTAGCCATATCTTAAGTAACAGCCCATTATAATCAGGTAGCTTTTAACAGAGAAGCTCCACACTAGCCATATCTTAAGTAACAGCCCATTATAATCAGGTAGCTTTTAACAGAGAAGCTCCACACTAGCCATATCTTAAGTAACAGCCCATTATAATCAGGTAACTTTTAACAGAGAAGCTCCACACTAGCCATATCTTAAGTAACAGCCCATTATAATCAGGTAACTTTTAACAGAGAAGTTCCACACTAGCCATATCTTAAGTAACAGCCCATTATAATCAGGTAACTTTTAACAGAGAAGCTCCACACTAGCCATATCTTAAGTAACAGCCCATTATAATCAGGTAACTTTTAACAGAGAAGCTCCACACTAGCCATATCTTAAGTAACAGCCCATTATAATCAGGTAACTTTTAATAGAGGAGCTCCACACTAGTCTGGTGTGATATTTTAGTAACTACCTGTAGAAACTGGTGGAATAATTGTAGGTGGATAGGCATGGTGGATACATCAAACTGAGGAACTTCCTCCTCCTTCTCTTCTTCCTCCTCTGGACTGTCCTCTCCATTAGAGGAGGAGCCTGTGATAGACAAGGAAGGATTCTGAACATGTGTTTATAACAAAAAAATAAAATGTCAGGTAGACATTGATATGAATATTACATAAAGCTTTAACATGATATAGGGCCATAATAGCTCAGTCAGTAAAGCTTTGGCCTACACACCTCAGGTGGTCGTCTGAGGTGTCCTCAACATTCCCTTCCTGTAGCTGTTTGTCTTCCTCAGGAATCCAGGCAACAGACTAATATGTGTATGGACCACCGGAACAATGTTAACAATTGTACTGTTTCACAGCACAGGTTACATATATGTTACATGTGTATTATGTGCTCAGCTTGGTATCTATATATAGTATATATACATATTATAAGCTGTATATCACTGTATGTACTCACTTTTTCTTTCAGTGGGGGAGGACATGGGATGTGAAGGTTTGGTGTTGACAGAGGTGAACTTCATCTCCTCAACCTTGGGTACATCCTTGGGTGGAATCTTTGCAGTGTCACGAGGACAGTAGCAGCACATGACCTTGGAGGTAAGTTGGTGCCACAGAGCCACGTTCTGACAGAAAGTACAACTTGAGGCCTGCTGCTCCTGGCTGCAGGTATGACTGCCATCCCAAGTAACATTTAGCATTGACGTGAGTAGGGACATGATCTGACGACTTGTCTCATTGTAGATACCAAGGTACTTTGGAAACTCTTGTAGTTCAAGCTGTTAAAGCATATGACACAGTTACACTTACACAAGGATTTATGTACTGGGTATAAGACATAAATACGTATTGATTATAATATGTTAGACACAAAGCATAATGTAGGATTAAAATGTAAAGTTTGTTTCCCTGTTCACGGTCCTCCTTTGAAATATTTTAAGTTAATGTGCTTCCACTATAATACAAATTGAACATATAAACATCCAACATCTCTCAAAGCATTTTACTACTTGGGCATAAGAACCTCAGAATGAAGACATCACACAAACAATTCACAAGTTTTAGGAATAGATTTGAAATATTTACCTGTTTGAGACACATGTCCAACATCATACAAAAGCAAGGAAGAACAAGTTCTGTTTCACGATCATATATCTCATATGCCTCTACAACTACATGAGACTTCTCAGGGCTGAGAGGTGGTGGACATTCCTCTATAGGGGTGCTAGGAGAAAATATCTGTTGGTGGTTACCACCTGCAACCCCTGCCTTTTTGGATTCTCCCTGTGTGATGATGGTACACAGATTTTCCACCCCACACTGGAACATGTTCAGCAACATATTGATGGGGATGATCACATCTAGTGTTGACAAAATCTGTAAGGAAAACACAGATTTGATGTATTATCAACAGAATATTTGCATGAAATAAAATCCACTTCACACAAAAATCTTGCCAAGATGAACTTTATTCTATGGAATACTTCCAAGACATAACACATACTGTAAAATCAGACATCACTGGACTCATGACATGACAAAACACTTTTTCTTTGGCACTTGATTTCATGAATAAACAGTACTCATAATCACCACTAATGACAGTGCCCCTGATGAGCTGAGTATTAGCATATGCGTTGATAATCAAATTGATGCATACTCATTACAGTCACATTTTTATTTATCCATTGCTTATTAATAATGTGTAAGTGATCCGACTTTACCCAACACCTTTTCTACCTTTCTATAATCATAGTTGCCAAAACAATTCATATCAATTACTCCTCCTAAATCTAGATCCATGAATATTTTAATGATTCTGAATATGTCTCATTTTGAAGCCAATGATCACCAAATCACGGCAAACAGTAAAGCGTTAGAGGTTTTAAAACTTCAACAATAAAGCAATGGTGAGCAATATCATTGAACAAATGATTACCAAACATTTTAGTTGTTTTAATGTATCAAATTAAGAAATATCACAGCAGTCAACAAAAGGTAATCCTATTTCATGCTGAAAATTCTTGCATGGCATGATCAAAATCATTTTTACTCCCAAGGTAAGAAAAGTAAGAGCTCTTTACCCATCGATTAAAAACTTATCTGGAGCATTGAATACTTATCCTTAAAGTTAAATGGTTCATAGAATTTCTGGAATAGGAGAACATATGAGAACAACAAAAATAAGTTCCCACAAAAAAAAAATAACCACAGGAGGCAATAAGCAAAAGGTGTATTAATGTTTCAAATGCTTTTAGTTAAAAGACTTTTACCTGAAGCCATTGAAGTGCTTGTTCCTGAACATAAGCACTGGTATCAGTGAAGCGGTCGGAGATGAACTGAAGGATCTTCTCTGGACTATCTGGTGTAAAGGGCAGGGGACATAACTGAATGTCAAATGCTTTGCTGAAATATTGTAAAAACAAGGTGACTTTATACATTTTGCTCTTTGTATCCATTTCTATTGAAGTTTTTGAAGTACAAATGTGAAATGACTAAAAACAAATTGAGATTTGTCAAAAGTCTACCCTTTACCTGCTGACAAAATTTTACCTACCAAAATAAGCCAGATAGAGTTGGTATACTGAGGCCAAGATGGTCACATTCAGTCATACAAAATCAAATTACAAAATGAGATACTTCAAACCATCTATCATAAAGATTTTCAAACCATCTATCATAAAGATTTTCAAAACATCTATCATAAAAATTTGAACAGTTTTCATATAAGGTAGTTTTCTTTTCCTTGAAAACAAAAATTTAATTGACAGATATAGGTAGTCAAATTTTGTTGCTTCAACTTTGTCGACTAAAACTTGAAAAAGTATCATCTATTGTAAATTGTTAAGTCTTGCCTGTGATAAGTTTACCTGAGGAGAACTTTGAGTTCATGAAGATCTTCTGTGGGCACTTCTGTCCTAATGGCCTCTAACCAGTAGGGCATCACATAATCCCATATCTAAAATAATTAAAGGCAATGTAAAATAATGACTTGATACAGTAGGAGACTGTTACAGTGAAACCCACTTAATATCATGGTCCATTTGTCAGCGGAAACTGTGATAATAAGTGGAATGTAATATTAACAGTTGACACATTTTTCCAGACGTCTAAACCCAAAAGTTAATTTCCAGATGCCCCAAACTGACTTTTTTTTAACAGAAATTGTTTGAAGACAATAAATTTGTAATTTGATTTGTATTTCCCCATAAGAACAGTGTGTTCCTTGACTTGTATTTGTTTATTCTTTGAAATATCTAAACTCCAGTCATAAACTATCGTAAACGATCATGACACTTCACGTCATATTCAGTTTACACCTGGTCAGATTGGTACATGACACTACCGTGTCATCAGCTGAAGTTTTGCCGTATAATTTATTCATCCTTTACTGTATAAGCTTCATAATGGTGTATTGTTGCAAAGTTGGTATATATACAGTGTGTATCTCTGCAACTTCGATAAAATGTATTCTGAAGATTGCAACTCGATCCTTGCTGACAAAAATAGCCAACAGAGTGTGAACTGTTCACCTTTGAAACACCATGTTTCATTGGCTGTTAATTAGTGGTTATTTTTAATGGCCAATCTGATGTCATGTAACACATCTTTGGAAAAACACTGTTTCAGAATTAGCTGGACTTTGCAGGTAAGTGAGTCAATATTATTGTTTGGGAGTCGCTGGTTGTGAAAAATTGGTCAGTGGGGCCATGACATTGTTTACATAACATGTCCAAGTGTGACTGTAACGGATGCCCCTTTACACCTGAATCCAAAGATTCTGTCCTCCCTTATCTGTGATTAACCTGTGCTTTTTATGTGATAGTCAGCAAAATGAAGTGATATTAAGCATTGCCCACATGAAAATAAGTGACATTATCAGATGTTCGATTACATAAAAACCTGAGACTAACCAGAAAGTGACATTAACAGACATGATATTAAGTGGGTTCCACTGTACCAGGCAACATAACATAAATCCAAATCAGAGTACAAACTAATGTTAAATTATTTCACCTCAAAAGTGATGATGTCGTAAGGTACAAGGCAGAAGAAACAGTTGAGTCCTTCTTTGATCTGTGTTGTCCGGCTCACCAGTGTGTCCCTATAAGAAATAGAACAATTAATATTGGTCCTTGTATGAAAGTAAAACAATAAGTATCACAAATATACAGACTGACCATCCTCCACAATTAGTTCAGACCAGAGAAAGAAACTCTCAAAATATTCTAAATCAGGACAGATTGAAAGACCTCTGGCCATCTCCATGAAAGGCTCGAGAGTTTAGCACTCATGCTAACCTATACAGGTACTCACCAAAATCCTCCAACACGAGCATACTCTACTGGGTGGGGCAGCAGGCATGACACGATCACCTCAAAATGTGTGTGTCCTATCTCCTCCAGCCAATCATAGATATACTACAACAGACAATAGAAGGTATACAGTAATCTCTGTAGGACTGAGAGAGAATGTACAGTAAAGTAAAGGGTATAATAGTGCTATATACTGGCCAAAATAAAACATGAAACAGGTAGTGATCTAACCATTACGACTTATGTGTGATATAATAGCAGTGGTGATGTATCAATTATCAAATGATTCCAACTATTTTAGCAATTAAACACTGTTATTTCAGTTTCTCTACATTCCCACAAAATTTCAGCTCAATGGCACCAGATTGCTGTTATGGATTTTGGACCGATACATAAAATAACATCATTTGGTCAAGATCAATTCAGGATCACTTCAAGCACGCTTGAGTTGAAACCTGCTATTGAAAGTCTACACACAGCAGATGATGACATATAACAAGTAAAGGTCATGGTCAGATGACCTCAAAACAAACACTGATTTATATTCCTCTAGGTTGAACTATATGTACAATCTGTAAAAAAAACATTTTTACATTGAAGTTTGTTGTATTATTGTGAGGAAATTTTGGCATCATTATTTGCTAAAATAGTAGACAACATAAGAGACTTATCAAAGATCTCTTTTCATGACTTTAATTTTTCAAGTAAAATGTACTTACACCAGGTTTCAGTTTTTCTAATGCATTTCCAATGTTATCTACAACAATAAATAAACTTAATGAAAAGGATTGAAAATAGAGTAGAAGTAGATCAACAGAGTACAGGTATTGTAATTGTCGTTCACTACCTTTAATTCACAGTAGATCAGCAGAGTACAGGTATTGTAATTGTTTTTCACTACCTTTAATTCACAGTAGATCAACAGAGTACAGGTATTGTAATTGTCGTTCACTACCTTTAATTCACAGTAGATCAACAGAGTACAGGTATTGTAATTGTTTTTCACTACCTTTAATTCACAGTAGATCAACAGAGTACAGGTATTGTAATTGTCGTTCACTACCTTTAATTCACAGTAGATCAACAGAGTACAGGTATTGTAATTGTTTTTCACTACCTTTAATTCACAGTAGATCAACAGAGTACAGGTATTGTAATTGTCGTTCACTACCTTTAATTCACAGTAGATCAACAGAGTACAGGTATTGTAATTGTCGTTCACTACCTTTAATTCACAGTAGATCAGCAGAGTACAGGTATTGTAATTGTCGTTCACTACCTTTAATTCACAGTAGATCAGCAGAGTACAGGTATTGTAATTGTCGTTCACTACCTTTAATTCACAGTAGATCAGCAGAGTACAGGTATTGTAATTGTTTTTCACTACCTTTAATTCACAGTAGATCAGCAGAGTACAGGTATTGTAATTGTTTTTCACTACCTTTAATTCACAGTAGATCAACAGAGTACAGGTACTGTAATTGTTTTTCACTACCTTTAATTCACAGTAGATCAGCAGAGTACAGGTATTGTAATTGTCGTTCACTACCTTTAATTCACAGTAGATCAGCAGAGTACAGGTATTGTAATTGTTTTTCACTACCTTTAATTCACAGTAGATCAGCAGAGTACAGGTATTGTAATTGTTTTTCACTACCTTTAATTCACAGTAGATCAAAGAGTACAGGTATTGTAATTGTCGTTCACTACCTTTAATTCACAGTAGATCAACAGAGTACAGGTATTGTAATTGTCGTTCACTACCTTTAATTCACAGTAGATCAACAGAGTACAGGTATTGTAATTGTCGTTCACTACCTTTAATTCACAGTAGATCAGCAGAGTACAGGTATTGTAATTGTCGTTCACTACCTTTAATTCACAGTAGATCAGCAGAGTACAGGTATTGTAATTGTTTTTCACTACCTTTAATTCACAGTAGATCAACAGAGTACAGGTACTGTAATTGTTTTTCACTACCTTTAATTCACAGTAGATCAGCAGAGTACAGGTATTGTAATTGTCGTTCACTACCTTTAATTCACAGTAGATCAGCAGAGTACTTTGTAATTGTTTTTCAACCTTTAATTCACAGTAGATTGCAGAGTACAGGTATTGTAATTGTTTTTCACTACCTTTAATTCACAGTAGATCAGCAGAGTACAGGTATTGTAATTGTCGTTCACTACCTTTAATTCACAGTAGATCAACAGAGTACAGGTATTGTAATTGTCGTTCACTACCTTTAATTCACAGTAGATCAGCAGAGTACAGGTATTGTAATTGTTTTTCACTACCTTTAATTCACAGTAGATCAGCAGAGTACAGGTATTGTAATTGTCGTTCACTACCTTTAATTCACAGTAGATCAACAGAGTACAGGTATTGTAATTGTTTTTCACTACCTTTAATTCACAGTAGATCAGCAGAGTACAGGTATTGTAATTGTTTTTCACTACCTTTAATTCACAGTAGATCAGCAGAGTACAGGTATTGTAATTGTCGTTCACTACCTTTAATTCACAGTAGATCAACAGAGTACAGGTATTGTAATTGTTTTTCACTACCTTTAATTCACAGTAGATCAACAGAGTACAGGTATTGTAATTGTTTTTCACTACCTTTAATTCACAGTAGATCAACAGAGTACAGGTATTGTAATTGTTTTTCAGCAGAGTACAGGTATTGTAATTGTTTTTCACTTTTAATTCACAGTAGGTATTGTAATTGTTTTTCACTACTTTTAATTCACAGTAGATCAACAGAGTACAGGTATTGTAGTTGTCTTTCACTACCTTAATTTACAGTAGATCAAAAAGTGCTCAGTCAAATTTTTAAGTACTGTATTAAGTACCAGGTAAGTATCTTCAAAAACAATTACTTAATAAGCCTTTTCAATTTTTCATTATTACTTGGACTATAGCTCAACCAATAACATAAATGTTAGTTAAAGTTTCTTAATAAGAACCATATATCTCCAAATTCAGATCTGTATGAATATGTTATAAAGAAAACCAACCATCAGGGAGATAGGCTGTAGCATCAAACCACTGGAACAGCATACCAAGCAGGCGGCCCAGGATCTCCTGTAATAATAGAGAGGGTTACATACATACCACAAACATATATACTGACAAGGAAAGATAAGGATACATATAGCATTAGATAATTAGGATTAAACATCCATTAAAATCAATCAATATTTCATAATTTTCAAAAAGTGTTTCTGAACAGTTTGTACACATTCATATACTTAATACCTCCAAAAGGCTTTTTAGTGTGACAATAAATGGCATAATTTAAACACAGAATACACAGAAAGAGTTCAACCATGACAAAAATGAGACAGCCAACCAATAGAATAAACATAAAGTGTACAACAGGATTTTATGTGACAAAAATGACTACTAGACCATGGAATTCACAGAAAGTGTATAACAGGGTCAAATGTAACAAAAATGACACCTTCAGCCAAACTTCCAGATAAATAAAAGAAGGGCTAAAATTGAGTATATAGTGTAGTAAGAGACCAAACTGCAGCATGTGATACTGCTATCAATACAGCTAACCACATGTAAAGATTTGCACTAGTTATTAGATACAGTACATGAGAAACACCCTCGACATATGCAAAGGCCATATTTCTATATGGGAAAGGGATGTAAAAACTGATTTTTATATGCAGGACACTGTAATTCTTATGCACCCATATACAAAAATCTGCATTTCAAGGTAAAATTCTCCAGGACATGATCCATACAAATAAACATATGGACTCAGGAATGGAGTATAAACCTATAGACTACATGGCTACCAACAAAGGACTTGTAACCAGCGTATACTGTAAGTAATTAACAAGAATGTCACCAGTCAATCCACATACAATAGGTATATCCTCTCTGGAGCTACACAACTCCACCATCAGCCAGATGCCATAGCGACTGAGTAGCTTCCTTTCCCCAACTTCCTCCATGGCAAAGAAATCATCATCGTCAGAGAAATGTGGTCGGTGTTCATCTCCCATTTCTACCATTCTCTTAGACTCAATAGGCTGTGCTTCCTTCAGGAGACTACAACAAAAACATCAGGATCAAATCCCATAGACTACAATACACACATCAGGATCAAATCTCATAGAATGCAACACACACATCAGGATCAAACCTCACACACTACAACACAAACATCAGGATCAAATCTCACAGAATACAACACAAACATCAGGATCAAATCTCACAGAATACAATACACACATCAGGATCAAACCTCACACACTACAACACACACATCAGGATCAAATATCACACACTACAACACAAACATCAGGATCAAACCTCACAGAATACAATACACACATCAGGATCAAATCTCACAGAATACAACACAAACATCAGGATCAAATCTCACAGAATACAACACACACATCAGGATCAAATCTCACAGAATACAACACAAACATCAGGATCAAATCTCATAGAATACAACACACACATCAGGATTAAACCTCACACACTACAACACACACATCAGGATCAAACCTCACACACTACAACACACACATCAGGATCAAATCTCACACACTCAACACACACATACAACACACACATCAACACACACATCAGGATCAAACCTCACACACTACAACACAAACATCAGGATCAAACATCACACACTACAACACACACATCAGGATCAAACATCACACACTACAACACACACACCAGGATCAAACATCACACACTACAACACAAACATCAGGATCAAACATCACACACAACACACACATACAAACACACACTACAACACACACATCAGGATCAAACATCACACACTACAACACACACATCAGGATCAAATCTCACAGAATACAATACACACATCAGGATCAAATCTCACACACTACAACACAAACATCAGGATCAAATCTCACACACTACAACACAAACATCAGGATCAAATCTCACAGAATACAACACAAACATCAGGATCAAATCTCACAGAATACAACACAAACATCAGGATCAAATCTCACAGAATACAACACAAACATCAGGATCAAACATCACACACTACAACACACACATCAGGATACAACACACACATCAGGATCAAATCTCACAGAATACAACACACACATCAGGATCAAACCTTACACACTACAACACACACATCAGGATCAAACCTCACACACTACAACACACACATCAGGATCAAACATCACACACTACAACACACACATCAGGATCAAACATCACACACTACAACACACACATCAGGATCAAACATCACACACTACAACACACACATCAGGATCAAATCCCATAGACTACAATACATACATCAGGATCAAATCCCATAGAATACAACACACACATCAGGATCAAACATCACACACTACAACACACACACCAGGATCAAACATCACACACTACAACACAAACATCAGGATCAAACATCACACACTACAACACACACATCAGGATCAAACATCACACACAACACACACATCACAACACACACACTACAACACACACATCAGGATCAAACATCACACACTACAACACACACATCAGATCAAACATCAAACATCACACACTACAACACACACATCAGGATCAAACATCACACACTACAACACACACATCAGGATCAAACATCATACACTACAACACACACATCAGGATCAAACATCACACACTACAACACACACATCAGGATCAAACCTCACACACTACAACACACACATCAGGATCAAACATCACACACTACAACACACACATCAGGATCAAACATCACACACTACAACACACACATCAGGATCAAACATCATACACTACAACACACACATCAGGATCAAACCTCACAGAACACAACACACACATCAGGATGAAACATCACACACTACAACACACACATCAGGATCAAACCTCACAGAACACAACACACACATCAGGATCAAACATCACACACTACAACACACACATCAGGATCAAACATCACACACTACAACACACACATCAGGATCAAACATCACACACTACAACACACACATCAGGATCAAACCTCACAGAACACAACACACACATCAGGATCAAACATCACACACTACAACACACACATCAGGATCAAACCTCGCAGAACACAACACACACATCAGGATCAAACATCACACACTACAACACACACATCAGGATCAAACATCACACACTACAACACACACATCAGGATCAAACATCACACACTACAACACACACATCAGGATCAAACCTCACACACTACAACACACACATCAGGATCAAACATCATACACTACAACACACACATCAGGATCAAACATCACACACTACAACACACACATCAGGATCAAACATCACACACTACAACACACACATCAGGATCAAACATCACACACTACAACACACACATCAGGATCAAACATCACACACTACAACACAAACATCAGGATCAAACATCACACACTACAACACAAACATCAGGATCAAACATCACACACTACAACACAAACATCAGGATCAAACATCACACACTACAACACAAACATCAGGATCAAATCTCACAGAATAAATACACATATCAGGATCAAATCCCATAGAATATAACGTAAATATTGGGATCAACTCTCACACACACTACATCAAACATTGGGATCAACTCTCACACACACTACAACAAAACATTGGGATCAACTCTCACACACAATACAGCAAAACATTGGGATCAACTCTCACACACACTACAACAAAACATTGGGGTCAACTCACACACACTACAACAGGAACATTGGGATCATCTCTCACACACACTACAACAGGAACATTGGGATCAACTCACACACACTACAACAGGAACATTGGGATCAACTCTTACACACTACAACAGGAACATTGGGATCAACTCTCACACACACTAACAATGGACTAAAGTATTATGTGTACCTAACAATAGCATCCATTAGGTAGCGTTGCATTTCCAGACTGCAGTCCCAGATCTCAGGCACACTGACATGATACACATGGTTACGACCACGGTTTGTATTGTGACGTGACTCATGACAGATCTGACAGTAGCGGATTGGTCGGTTCCCATTAAAACTGGCACAGTCAATGGAAAAACAGGTACACATTGCCAGGTTGTCTCGTGACTTACAATTCTGAAAAGATAACGTTCAAACATTGATAGATATCAAAGGGGGATGTTCCAAATCAATTCTTTAAAGAATGCACTAATCATGGTTATATACACCATATTTTCATATAACATTGGGAAATGAGAAGAGTGTTGTTGCTTTTTGTGGCAAATTTATAGAAGGTTCAAATTTTGCACTTGCAATTTGCGATACACGGTTGAGATGTAAAATATGGGGTGAGAACTGCTGTAGTTAGTCTTTACACTTGAGTTTAATATACAGAAAGATCAGACATGGAAGTGGCGAGAAGACTGTTTTTATTCTGTTGAATGGCACATGAAAAAGGGACAGTATTTTTGTACTTGTAGCATATGAAAACTCGTGAAAAATTCACCTTGTTTTCAAAAATGGTTGAAGCTGAGTATCGCTATTTGAGGTAAAATTCATCTTGTTTTCACAGCATGAGACATAGAATGAGTATTGATACTTGTGGTAAAACTCACCTTGAATTTCACAGAGCGTTGAAGCATGAGACATGGGTGAGTATTGTTTTTTGGTGGTAAGACTCACCTTGTTTTCACAAATGGTTGAAGCATGAGACATGGGCAATAGAATGTCGGTCATGTACTCGCTGTGCTCCTTTCTCAGCACCTCAGCACAATCACTACAGATATATAAGGGTGGTGGTTTGTCTCCAGAATGGATAGCCAGCGCAGGGTTTAAACACATCTACAAGAAACACAATATTAAACATCTGAGCTGCCTCCATGTTTCATACCTACTTAAGGAAGGTGAGTTATTATGTAGTTCATTTATTTGTTTCTGGAGGATTATAATAATAAGTATAGATAACCAGACAACATCCAAGGAAGTTCTTCACCAGGCTTTAATGTTGACATGTTCCTGCATACTAGGTATACTGTCCTCAGAACAGCACAACAATTCAAAATATAGGACTTATATAGTACCTCTGTCTAGCAACTACAATGTTGTTAAAAGTTCATGTCATAAATAGTACACAGAATACAATGACATGATCTTTGGGTAATGTCATTTAGGTGGAAATTACACTAGATACTGTACCGATACTACCATATTTTCCAGGTTATAAGCTGCACCTTTTTCTCATTAGTCGGATGTGCGGCTTAAAAATCGGCAGTATGGAGAAAAAAAAACAGGAGTTTTTACATGTACAACCTGGCCATCACGTGTTTGTGACTGAAACAGATCATCTTGAACTGTCATTTGCATTCGTATACCAGATGACGATCTAAATAAAAGTAACATTCTCATGGATTTAATTAATGATACCTTTTGATATGGATAACAATAACATTGTCTAGACTACAAAGTTACTTCGAAGCCATAGCTGAAGTTTACAATAGACTTTTGCATCCTGGGATCGATAGGTCATCAGGTTATAGGTCAAATACCAGAAGAACTACCATGGTTGTTTACTTGTACAGGGTTATCTGTGTATAATTCATTTGCAAACTGTATCAAATGTTTTACTAATGATCTTGGTAAATTGCCTTCCATTGTCCGTTACATCAACAAACTCTGGTCAACATAATGGTTACCACTTAGTAAGAACTGCCTTCCATTATCTGTTACCAGTATATAAAATGTCACCAATAGTGGTCACCATATCGTAAGAAAGGGTGCGGCTTATATGTGGATCAAATTGAAAAAATCACTAAAAACGGGCCCTGTGGCTGTGGCCCAGAAAATATGGTATATGTTGTTCAATAGAGATCCTTGGTCCTCGGAAGATTACTGAAAATTAATGGAACTGCCCACACAGATATTGGATCTCAATTTCCTTGTATTATAGAGAATTAGACAACATTGTTAACTTTTGTTTATTCCATGATAAATATGTTGTACTCCCTACCTTCACAGCCTGACAGTTTCCTGAGTTTACACATCCTCGTCTCTGACACAAAACAGGGGGCCAAGCTAAAATATAAAACTCAGAATAGAACTGGCACCCAGGCTATAAACCTATATACAACCGTTTCTACTTCATATGAGAATTACAAACTATTCTGTTCAATTTCGTAAATGGCTCTGATTATCATTTAAATATCTACTTCTTTCAATTTTACCTTTGATCACAGAGATGAGGCAGACCTCAATACTAACCTACGTATCTGTAGTTGATGCGCCTCCCTGTGTCTGACTGAGAGGGACTCAGCTGTGGCCAGTAATAAAATAGCAGGTTAGCAGCTGGAGCACGACCTGCTGGAGGGCCATAGGCGATGATACTGAGAATGTCCTGCACATAGACAAGGTTATTACTGTATCCTCTATAAATATGTGTAAATGTAATGGCTTGAATTTGATCATGTGATATAAAAAATCTATTTCACTCTAAAAGTCAATTGTACATAGTAAAGTAAGAATCAGAAGTCATATCAGTCCAAATCTTGGTTTTTAGAAATTATTTTGATATTTAAAATAAAAACAACACAAGGGCGAACCTGAAAAGGAAACTAGTTCCTCTATTTTCTCGGTAAAAGATTCCTATACCGAGGAACCTTTTGGTCAATCACAATTCAGAGTAATGAAATTAAATGCTGTTGTGAAGAGATATATAAAAAAAAACCCAAAAAAGTAAACTAAACATTAAAATCAACAAATTAACAGACAAAAAGTATATTGATGAAAATATGAACAAAATCTTTGAAGTGCATTACCTCCTATTTCCCATGCTGATTATAGAACTCACCTTAATGAGGTCACGTTTAATGCTCATAAAGCACTCCATGATCTGAGAGTGGAAGGCTACAATGTAAAGTATGTGTAGTTACACAGATATAAAGTCATTACAGATAAGTATATATCATCTAGACATCAGTTCCAGACCATTATGTATTTCGGAACGGCCAGTTTGTTGAACCATATCACTAGAACTGTTGACCTGCTTGACCTCGCACCTGGATAATTTTTGTTGCTGTAACGTGTTAGGCTTCCAGAAAAAATGACAACTTTTTTTTATCATAACATCCGCCATAAATTTTTTGAGAATATATTTTTTTGGCAAATTTGTGTATTTTTTCTTAATACACATTTTTACATGTCAAGCATCCTCACAGATATGATGATATATACCAATCAGCCCATCCTCAAATGCCAGTGTTTTGTTGTTGTCTGTTCAGTGAATGAAAATCAATCAGGAATATAAGGCCACGCTTTCTTGCAACTTTTGGTTACTAAAGTCTTAACAAGGATGCCTTATATTGCAACCATGGTGAATTTTAAGTTATCACTTTTGATGACTTATTTCCAATTTGAATTAACTACCGATTGTAGAGTGACCGATGAAAAATTAACTTCATTTATATAGTTAGTGTTATAAGAAAGAAGTTTGCCAATAAATATATCTTTATTTGAGAAAAACAACCAAAAATCTTGAATCTAACTCTTTAGAAAGGTGCACACATTCCTTTTCAAATGATGATTTTCTGTAATACATGAGTACTTCTTGGTCACTGTAAACTATCCCAAGCATCTCTGTAATTTAGTGATGTCATCAGAAGTGCAAGTGCAGTCACATGTTCGATACTCATGTCGATCATTTCAAGTGAGCAAAATACAGGTTGGATCTGTGGATACATTTTAGAAAATACTGGTGTTTCACTGATCAGTTTTTTAAAAAGTCATACAGTAAGTACACTTTAAATTCATTTATGTATTTGTTTGGTGCCAATTGGTTGACATAGCGCAGCTAGCAAGAAATTATTCTTAAGGGGTCCAAAACTATTGTCCCAAGGATACAGAAATAAAGTTTGGACAGATAAGTATGTACTGATATAAGTAGAAAGTATGGACAGATAAGTATGTACTGATATAAGTAGAAAGTATGGACAGATAAGTATGTACTGATATAAGTAGAAAGTATGGACAGATAAGTATGTACTGATATAAGTAGAAAGTATGGACAGATAAGTATGTACTGATATAAGTAGAAAGTATGGACAGATAAGTATGTACTGATATAAGTAGAAAGTATGGACAGATAAGTATGTACTGATATAAGTAGAAAGTATGGACAGATAAGTATGTACTGATATAAGTAGAAAGTATGGACTGGTAAGTACTGTAAATCACATCTTTTGCATGGGATTTATTTTCGCATTAATACAGAGAGCCAATAGCTAATTCAAATCTTCCACAATTATTTATACGAAACTCTTCCTGACATCCTTGTTATTCTGCCCTTAACTTGCTTTAATAGACACTTCCTAGAATTTATATGTACCTTATATTTCCACAAACAAATCTGCAAGACATATATCACTTTCAAATTTAAACATCTTTAGAACTTTTCATTGACATCCCTGTATTGCAGATTGCAGGAGCTTTTAAGAGTCTCTGAGAGCTCATCTTTCACAAATTCAAAGTCATTTCTAGATCAGCATTCATGAAATCATGTATTCATGGCTATGTCTGCAGAGGTAAGTTCTCAAAATCTAAGTGATTTACAATATGTACAGGTATGATGTATGTACATGTTGGAAGTATTAAAATAAATTAAATAGCACTGGTGTTTTGTTTACTGATACCATTTACCTGTATCTTTGACTCACTACTTACACAACTATATTTGTATTGTGCTACTTACATCCATTGTCTGTGTGTTGCAGTACCATAGTGATGATGGCTGCGGCTGACTCACTGGCATAGGACGGCTCCAGACAGCCATCAAACCCTGAAGTTTATAACACATCAGATAATTCAAAATTGGTCTTAATCCATATCCATATGTTACCAGACAGCAGGTTAATATGGTTGGCAAGTTTTGCCTCTGTATGTGAGGCTCCATCTGAACGGAGTTTTGATTTCCAAATGTTGTATAATCATCAAATGTATATCATGGATAAATTATGTTTAAACATCCTTCAAACCTACAGTTTACGTTACACCAAAGTACACTAAAAGATAATGATTGATCAAAAATATCTAGTTACTTTTTGACCACATAACAAAATTACAGATACATTACCTAGTGTCATCGGCAGCATGTTGCTACAGAGCAAGTCTATGGTATCTTTGTGGAGGGTCGGGGGGAAAATAGCCAGTGTGGAGGCTACTGTGTAAGGGAGGGAATCCAGCAAGTCATGCTCCAGAAATGGTACCAGACAGCCCAATACCTTCAGTACATTCTCCCCTATCTCTACAATAATCATATTATCCAACATTTTATCATCCATTCTAAACCATATATTTCAAAACATTTCAAAATTCATGTGTCATTTTCTCTTTGCATCTCTATAAATTAGGAACATGTACACATCAGCAACTGCATTAGTTAAGATTTCCATTTAGGAATTTGTCTGGAAAAAAGTATCAATGATATATGCACCATCTTTGAATATTCAAAAATTCAAATCTAAGTAACAAGTTGTATCCTTCATAGCTGTTTTTTTTTCACTCTAAAACATCAAGAAGAAAAAAATGACAGTGCTTGATCATCCAGACTTACCCAGCTGTTTAATCTGCATAGTTGGTACAATATCAATCATATCAAGTACTGCATAGTACAATTCGGTATACTTAAGGTTAGGAAACACTGACAATCTGACACTGTCTCTTTGGCGAGGGCCATAACTCTCAGCTGGGATGTTGGGTACATCCTTCAGTACACTGCAAGAAGACAAAAACGCATATATGCACATTATGTAAATATCAAATAATATACATTCTAGCCCTATCACCATGCAATATAATAGAGGTTGGCCATACATTTCATTACATTTGATAGCCTTTCATTTAAACATACTCCACACTGGCAAAATATTACTGTGAATTTCTCAAATAATCAGAAAAGGTTGGGATGCAGAGTAATTAAGAATATTCAAGGCATTTAAACACAATTTATTCCCTCAACATTTGTCATGAGCCAAGGTCATTCATTCTTGCATATGCTATTTACTTAACATCATTAACCTACTGGGCTATACAGACAACTTTGTCATCAAAATACACCAAATGAAATTCATTATCACTGAAATATTCAACAAATCAGAGGCTAAGTCATTCAAGTTCATCTGATATTCTTTTGTACCTGAGCAGTGACTGAGAAAAGTACTTGAGAGTATTCTCAATCTCAATACCAGTGGGCTGTGGTGTGGTATTATTGATGATCCGATACCTGTAATCCTTCAGGTTATGTATCTTTGAAGCAACTTGAAAAACAATGAAAAACACAAAAGAAATGTATCATTGAGCCATAGTTAGACAACATAAATTTTATGCCTTATATCTAAATGCTAATTTGTGATTTTTAATATGTGATTTATTTTTGCATTTCGCATGAAACAATTGGCTAACTAATTGTAGTAACATTAGGGCCATCCTTAAAATATTCACTGATTGGCATTGATTCATGACCCGTCCTTGGAGAACTCTAGGAACTGGAAATAATTATTTTATTGGTGGAAAAAAAAGACATCGTGAACTTCAGGTTCTGTTTGGCCAGCTCACAAATCAAAGTCATTTATTTGTTTTAGTGGTAGGGAAAATAAATAACAAATGTTTATATGACATTGCATCAGAAAGCATTAGTTTCAGCATGAAGACCTAAGATTCTGGAAAGGGTGTCCACTACAACAAAAATTGGATACAATCAGTCATCATAAAATTATTTCAGTCAGGGGTATTTCTTTTTTTTAAGTTGGTAAATCAATGCCAAACAAACAATATTTTAATTGAAGTCTTGTGGTCCATAGTTTTAAATAAATACCTGAGGTGTTCATAAGTTTATTTATACATAAGTAATCCGAAGCTTGCACTGAAAATACAACTTTTGAATCTACTTCTAATGTAAAAATATCAATCTTGGCATTTGATACAGAAATCCTATCTCATTATACGGATAAAACAATATATGATATTAACAAGCAAGAAAACAATGGAATTAAAGAAAATGCCATAGAGTAGGCCTAATCATATTCCTGAAACAGCAGTGTTGGTCTGCACATCAACGAAAGCCCAAATCAGTAAATGGATTGTTGCAAATGTGTTTATCAACATGCATACTTCCTGAGAAAACACTTACATGTGGCTGCCTTTGTGGTCATCTTGATGGCAAGAAAACAGACCGATAGAAGGGTTATTTCAATGAAATATTTCCCAAAATAATTACAAAAATTTGACCCGTCGAATCATCCATCATCTTCTTGCTTATGATTGAAATAGATGTCAACGACCGAAAAGTTCCGAAAATATGTTGCTGCTGCTGATCGGTATCGCCCCAAATTCCTGTCTAATTATGAAAATTGTGTGAAAAATTAATTCGTCATTGTGGCATATATTTTAATACGTATAGTAAATCTTGAATTATTGTTTTTATATTAAGAGTTATTTGCTCATAAAACCTCACATCTTAATAATAACTTTAAATTCAGGCAAGGACTAGTTGGACATAATAATAAAGTAGTGAAATTCTATCGACACATTTAACTCATTCATTTGTTACGAAGAAGTTTGAAATGTTCCGAATAAGCGCACAAGCAAGATGGCGGAAAGGTCGGAATGGGTTTACGATCAGTTGCTTTGTTTTCTCGGCAACCCATTTTTCCAGATACCGGTGATAACATACATGGAAGAAAACTGTTTGAGTAAGTCCTCTTTGTATATGAATTTGCAGTAATCGCTCAATGTACAGCTACCATGAATTGTAATCAACCAGTTACTGCGTTGCCTAGGACTCATTTCATTTTACAGTTTGCTGCAGTTAAGGACGTGTTGCAGCTGGAAAAAGAAAATTTATTTAAGCTAAAAACATAGCTTGTATCGACCTTGATAGCTTTTTTTCATTTTCTGTGCTCCATGTTACATTTCTAATACACATAATAAACATGTTTTATAAGAAGTAATCATCTCTTTTTTCTGATATTACGTTCATGTATTTGACAGTGTTCTGCTTTGTATGTGAACACAGTAAGCCAATCAATTCTAGTTCCCAGTAATAAAATTGTAAAAGTTTACTTGCTTGGTAAAGTATCAGAGTGTAAAATGTTATTGTTATGATACACTCCAACATCACGAATTTGGGACATTACAGTACATTATCAGGGCTCTCGATCTGCCAGATTTGGGGCCGAAATTCCCAATGCAAAATAGTATCTTTTTGTCCCAATTTAGACCCCAAGTTTTCCCAATTCTAAGGAAAACGCTGCTATTTTTCTCAATCCTAAGAGCCCCGGGCCCCAGTCCCAAAATGGGGTGTATCGGTATCATTACAGAACCACATACCAGGTATCTAACAATTGGAATATCTTTAGAATAATATTGTAACGTAATTAATCGGCAACAGACTGTGACTATACCATGTGTATATATTGATGAGGTTTATACATGATATTTAAGTTTGCAGATTTAATTGGACACAAACTGAAAAAGAAATTCAGAACAATTGTTCTGATGATTAATGCACACCCGAAAATAAATCCAAGTCTATGTAAATGATAGAATAGAAATAATGTATTTTTAACTCATTGTCTTCTGTTCTTAAATTGATATTGATGCCATCAAAGCTATTCTGGGGAGAAGTGTTCCAATAATGGCATTAGTTTTATTATCTTCATATATCTTATCATTCTTGCAAAAGAAAAAGAAAAAACAAAAGATCAGAGACTCCTGAAAAAGTACAAGATTTGTAAGACCAGCAATTAAATGTGAAAATAATTCATGAAAATAGTTTCCATGACAATTCTTTGTTTGTGTGGATGTATGAGTGAGTTTGGATATCATTTTTTCACTGATATCACCCATTTTGTTGAGTATTTGGCCATTCTGTTATCTAATTCATTTAAATTTGTGATATAGGTCCAGTAACACAAGTCCAGCTCTAGATAATCAGGGTGTTTAGAAAGTTTTATTAGAAATGACTATTCCTTAGATTTACATGATAGATTTTTACATTATACTAGCTTAATAGTGTCCATTTCTGCATGATCAGGTGTTACATTAAAAGAAAACATACTGGCAGTCTCAACCATTCTAGTTGTATGATCTTAACTAATAATCTAATTTGGTAATTCCTCATACTTTTAAGAAAAATCATTCAAATTAAACTTGAATAGATTTTTATGATGAAAATTGTCAAATCAATTACAACATTGATATTTTATGATATAGTCATCAGCAGATTCTTATTATTACCATGGTATTTAATGAATTTAAAGAAATGAAATGGACAATGCAGTAGTAGAATCAGGGAAGTGTGTGGGTACATTATAGACATAGTGAAAATGATGCACCAGTCAATACAGGTATAGTATTGATTCAACAATGTCTGCAGTGCATCACCTTTAACTGTCAACCTATCTGTGGGCTTACCATTGTATATCATCGGCTCTACCTTCTATGTCACTTAATGTAGCCCTTGCCCAACCAATATTGACAATAAGTCTGGTTAGACCAATACATAGCCAACAAGACTAGCCAGATCATCCCTTTGTGACAGCCTTTACCACAACCAAATACCGACAATAAGTCTGTAGTGAGATCCATACCGATTCTCCATGGCAATTTTTGAGGATCTCAGATATCTAATATATTGAATAAGTCTATGCTTTGACTAGTACAGTATAATTCCCCCATTAGATCTACATCAAGTTTCCAGTAACTAGAGTCATAGATGACAAATCTTGATACAAATGTTACATGTATATCTATAAATAGATGTAAAAAGTGCAAACCAGCAGCTCTCGTTGATCATATAAGTAAAACCATGTATTGTGAGCAAAGGCCATGCTAGATATATCAATAATACAGTAATATAATGAACCAATAATGGACCAGATCATCATATACCAAATACTGTGTGTTAATCCTAGTAAGTCTAAACCAAGACAATTATCATGAGTCTAATATAAAAGTCTGACCAGATGTATTTTAGGACTGAAAATAACTACACAATTCTATGTTTATTGTAAGTCATATTCAGACCAAGATCAGTTTTTCATTAGGTCTGTATGAACTAACCAGACCTATGATGTGAACAAGGTCTGGCTAGATCTGTGTGTATGGATAGTTACATACATGGTTATATATATTGCAGGTATGACATTGCCATTGTTAAATCTGTACAGACCTATAATGAATAAAGCCTGGTTAGATCTATAATATGTTATCTTGTGATTAAACAAGCCCCAGTTAGAATAGGCTGAGCTGTTATTTATGTAAATAAAACTACATATTTACTTCAGTCTGTTCGTTGGAAATACACACTATCACTCTGGACATTTGAAGTATTTAAACAGATATAAATTCTATGTACAGTTTTCTTTATGATGTGGTATAAATGAATACTCCAGAAGTCATGTTGTTATAGTATGATTTATAGGTATTAATGGTGTGTAATACAATTCAGAGAACTGTCTTTATTTTGAGTAATATAATGTCAACAACGAGCTCCCCTTAACCTTCAACACTTTCTATCCTTATTCTTGTATATCCATTTGCCTTCATGGAATTACAAATGGTGATCAGTGCTGCTGTCACTGAAATAGCGAGCTTCAAAGTTGGCATGTAGGGCTGATTTTGTTATTTTTTTATGCATAAATTGACAACATACATGTATCTACAAATATACTGGACAAAATAAGTTAAGGATCATAAATTGTGACCATAATATCTTTAAAAATTCAAATCATGTATTGCCGGTAATTGCACTCGTAGTTTCTCCAATATGTACCTAAAGTCATGTCAAAGGTGAAAGCACGTGCATCTGAAGGTCTTGCCGTTCCACTCTAGTTAACTATGGTGGTGTGAAAAACTGACTGGTCTATTACTACAGAGGAATCTTGCAGGTTTTGATTCTGTTACTTCTAAGCTAAAAAAAGTTGAATTTGGAAATATTTAATCAATTTGTAACGAAAACTTGAAAAACTAATCATGCGAAGACATTTAAATGATATGGAAGCCGCGCGAGCTATAGGGCTCCTTCAAGCTGGTCAAACTCAACGAAATGTGGCGGCACAGCTTCATGTTTCTCAGAGCGTGATTAGTAGGCTATGGAATCGCTATCAGCAGACAAATAACGTCCGTCAACGCCCCAGATCTGGACGACCACGCTGTACGACAGCCCGACAGGACAGATTCATTTGCATCACGGCAAGACGTCAGCGGTTTTTGAGTGCTCCTGTCTTGAATTTTCAGTTTCAGCGTGCTACAAATCTAAGGATTTCATCCCAGACAATCAGAAACAGACTCCATGCCTCTAATTTACGAGCTAGAAGACCAGCAGTCCGACCAATTTTATCCAGAGGTCATCGACAATCCAGACATCAATGGGCCACTCATCATTTGAATTGGCAATTACGTCATTGGAGAAATGTTATGTTCACAGATGAGTCTAGGTTTTGTGTTGACTTCCATGACGGTAGGAGGAGGGTATGGAGAACCCAAGGAGAGCGCTATGCAGACTGCTGTGTTGTCCAGCATGATCGCTTTGGTGGTGGGTCAGTGATGGTTTGGGCAGGGATCAGTGTTGACTTCCATACAGACCTCTACATCATAGACAATGGATCTTTAACAGCTGTTCAATACAGGGACGAGATTCTACACCCTATAGTAAGGCCCATTGCAGGAGTTGTTGGCCATGATTTTATTCTGATGGATGATAATGCTCGTCCTCACCGTGCTCGTGTGGTCAACGACTATCTTCAACGTGAAGCAATCGTTCGCATGGACTGGCCAAGTCGTTCTCCTGATCTGAACCCTATCGAGCATGCTTGGGACACCTTGCAACGCCGTGTTTCAGCTCGACCTAATCCGCCACAGAACCGCCAACAGCTTATGATTGCTCTGCAAGAGGAATGGCAGCACATCCCACAGATCAGCCACCGACGACTAATAAGGAGCATGTGCAGACGTTGCAGGGCAGTTATTGATGTCAACGGAGGTCATACTGCCTATTAAACTGCCAATTGCAGTTTGATGAGTTTTCCTTGTCTAAATGATTAACTTGCTCTACTTCCTCTTACACTTTGATTTCAAGGGTGCTGTTACTCAGGGTTATCTGCTCTTGGTAGCAATTACCACAAATAAATTTGTTTTGTGTAATTAAAGACTAAAATGAATGTTCTGTCATTAAAATTTAAAATATAATCATATTATTATTTGTATGTAAAACTGCACTGTTTCAAGTTTATGATCCTTAACTTATTTTGTTCAGTATATATACATCTATTTCAGTGTCATTTTATATGTCCATCAAACTTTTGATGTGATGTATTGTGGTATTCTTAATGTCCTTCCCATGATCAATTTACCAAATTTCCATATAACTGGATTTTTAGGGAATATTCATATCGTCTTCATCACATATGGACAAAGACTCAATTTTAAGATGAATAAAATTTGGGCATAATTCACTAACACACTGTACTGTATATTTTGTGGAATACAAGAGAACATTCTCACTAGTGGTCACCAAGGCTGCAGTTTTTGTGGAGTATGAGAGAGCATCATCAGTTGTGGTCACTAAGGCTGTTAGGTCTTGTGGATATGAGAGAACATCATTACTAGTGGTCAGTAAGGCTGATAGATTGTCTATTTATACTTAATACAACATCTTTAATAATTTACAAGGTTTTCACTACTGTATCATGTATCCAATATAGGAATGGCAGTTTTTGTTCTCAATTTATTAATACATTAATTAGAATTGGCTTATATTGTCATGCTTCATCAGCCACCTTGTACTGTCAATATACTACAGTAATGGTGATCAACTTTGGCCCTTCTACTTTCCAGATATGGTGTACCATCATTATAGTATTGTGGTGATCAGATGTCTGTCCTCTTTATTGATTTCATTTTAGTATATCACAAGATAAGATCTCAAATATTGATTGGATAACTCTATGAGACTTATGACCTACTGCTAGTTTGTCACACAACACGGCAATGGCATTTTGTATTATATGTGGTGTTATATACTTAACTGATTATTTCCTTATACTAAGGGTATAATATTTATGTCAGGAAAGATTTGTGCATTTGTCAGTAAATTGGGCTTTATTAAACCCATCTGCTTTACCAGATCAGAATGTCTCCAGGCAGTGATTTTCTATGCCTATTATAAATTGTATGTTAATCTGTTCCCTTTTCATGTTCTTTTGGAGAGAAAGCCTTTTTTTTTTGTTCATCAAAGTGTTGTCCATCCTTCCATCTGTTAACTTTTTTTTTTGTGCAGCAAGTTTCTCAGACACTGTTGACAGATCTTAATACATGTCCTTACTCAAATATTGGTCATTACACGTAGATGTAACATTATTTTGATCTGACCATTTAACCGATCACTCTACAGAGGTTTTGGAAGACATCACTATAACTCTTGTTTCCTTTGTTGCAGTTTGAGAGCACTTGAGATAAAGTCTCATGGTGACCTTTTGTAATCATTTTCTTTTTCTATTTAGCATCATTAATCACCTATTTACATCCATAAACTTTTTAGATTTTCGACTTCTAGAAAACCTCAATGGAATTTTGCAGAAACCTTCCATGGCGGGAGGTATACCAAAATTGTAAATGATATGTAGGTTTGACACATTATGCTCTATCACTTCTTTATGAAAGGGTTCCTCTTAAGTTAGTATAACACAATAGAGGCTTATGGTTGGTGAAACTTTAAAGACAATCAGATTTACCTAAAATAAGTTTGTGGGGAATCAGGTACATACTTAAACTTTATGACATGATTGCAACAATGCTTTTTTTCTGTGGCCTTAATAACTATACAAGCGATGCACACCATAGTGACAATACATCTATTGCATCTATGACACACTTAGTAAATATCTATTATCAGCTGGTGTTTTGTAAATTTCAGTATTTGATATGGCTGTTGACATCTGTGAAGAACACCATAACATCCACCGAGGATACAACAAGCTGGTAAGTAATGTAATTATACAGAGAGACACTACTATTGTAGATCAAAAATAGAGGGTACATGTTGGTAAGTATGTACTGATAATCAACAGATTAGAATGTTACATATTTAGATATTGTATATAGAAAAATAGATATGTTCATGTTTCGTATTTATGATGTGTATCATTTATTTGTACATGTGTTAAGGGATACACCACAGTAGGACAGTTCATGTCTCTCAGGGAGCTAGGGTTGCAAATTACCCTGTGAACAAGACACTTTACCAAATTCCTTGGGACGGTCTACAGCCTTCTGAATATTGTTTAGTGAGGTAGCGACCATCTATAAGTTACTGCAAAGAGACTCAGCCTCAGAATAACCCTGGATGTTCATGGGTGATAAATCCGATGAACAAACACATCATTTTATCAAGGCAATTGATACCTTTCAAAGCAATTTTCCCTTCTGTTATTCAAACAATTGCTTAAAATTTGTTTGACTTTTTCAGGTGGAAAAGTTACTAGAAGGCTTCATAAGGGATTCTAAGCTTACACAAGATGAACTGATTAAAGCCATGGCAAGCATGAATTCTAGGCCAGATCTAAGGGAAATTTTCCAGGTAAGATAAAGTCTTGTGTACTTAATTGTTAATACACTTCCTACTCATCATTTACCATTAGATCAGGGATGGACTAGATTTTGATGATGAAGTATTAAGGATCAATCATATATGTAGGGAAATTGTCCAGAAGAGGGATTAGTTTACATTTAAATCATAATCTGTGTGTCACCTTATCTTGGGCATAAATTTGTTATTTTTCCACTGATAAAACTCAAAATTTTAATACAAACACTTTTTGAAATGCCATAGTGTCATACTAAAACAGGACCAAAGTTAAGGTGATATTTTCCTGGTTTTGTAGGTGTTGTTTGAGCAGATCCTTTGTACAGACCAGTTTGATCTGTTTGTACAACTAATGAACCAGAAAAATATTGAGCTCCAGCAACAGGCCCTTCTGTTGATCATGAAGCGACAAGGATCTCTCCCCACTAGTCTACAGGATGACACTGCAGAAACACCACCTCCTTCCCAGGAAAACGTCCATTCAGAGGAGGATATCCTTCGAAAAGTTCTCCAGTAAGTATACATTAGGATCAAATTGATGTTCGAATATTTATTTTTTTTCTGTAGTATTTAACATAATGGTATATATATTTCCTATAGAAGATAGCATTGTAGGTGTTATTCTTTATTGAACAATAAGGTAAAAAAAGTGATGCAACACAGTGAACAAAAATTGAATGCAATATGTCACCGATTATTTCTCAGCTTGGTTACCAATAGATGCTTTCATTTTACCTTACTAAATTATTACTTCAAGGAAGCAATGGTTTCATCACTTGTGACTGATGCAAAATACAAATGTATCACTTTATCTGATTTGTTACAGGGAGTCTGAAAAACAAGCTCCGAAAGGGAACACTCCTTCAAGAGCATCACCAGAGGAACCCCCACAGGCAGTGATAGCCAGTCTGATGTTGACACCCACACATGTTCAGGCAGAGGGTCTCAAGTTGGAAGAGGAGAGAACTAAAGGACAGGAAAAAATAGTTGAGGTACAGATTAGGGACATCATTTCTTCATATAAAATGTTTATCAGAATACATTACAATGATTGTTTTGGTAACATTTTTGTACATTATCTACAATTGTAAACCCAGAGTATGTCTTGTGTGTGCTAATATGGCAGGTTTGTTTGATTAAATGTAGTCGATGTGGAAACAAATTATTTTTTAACATTGTAGAAAGGTCAAAGAGCCCTTTATTTTGTATTGAAAACAAAAAAGTTCAGTTGCAGGCAGTTGACTCATTAATCAGTATATCCAGAAGGAATTAGTGATGCTAGACGTAACTGCATGATAGTTCAGTAATACTAGTTTCATAGTCACAATAGATTTTTCTTCCATCATCTTCACAAAATGTATTTTGTGTTGCAGGCGATACAGAATGTATCCATTTCAGACCCCCCTTCGGCACCAGTGGCAGCTGCTGCAGCAGTAACAGCTAATAAACCCTCTAAACCTCTGACCGATCTAAAGTCAGCAGTAAGTAAACCCTCCAAACCTCTTACTGATCAAAAGTCAGCAGTAAGTAAACCCTCCAAACCTCTTACTGATCAAAAGTCAGCAGTAAGTAAACCCTCCAAACCTCTGACTGATCTAAAGCCTTCAGTAAGTAAATCCTCCACACTTCTGACTGACCTAAAGTCAGCAGTAAGTAAACCCTCCACACCTCTGACTGACCTAAAGTCAGCAGTAAGTAAACCCTCCAAACCTCTGACTGATCTTAAGTCTTCAGTAAGTAAACCCTCCAAACCTCTTACCGATCAAAAGTCAGCAGTAAGTAAATCCTCCACACTTCTGACTGACCTAAAGTCAGCAGTAAGTAAACCCTCCACACCTCTGACTGATCTAAAGTCAGCAGTAAGTAAACCCTCCAAACCTCTGACTGATCTAAAGTCTTCAGTAAGTAAACCCTCCAAACCTCTGACTGATCTAAAGTCTATAGTAAGTAAACCCTCCAAATCTCTGACTGACCTAAAGTCAGCAGTAAGTAAACCCTCCAAACCTCTGACTGATCTAAAGTCTATAGTAAGTAAACCCTCCAAATCTCTGACTGACCTAAAGTCAGCAGTAAGTAAACCCTCCAAACCTCTGACTGATATAAAGTCTTCAGTAAGTAAACCCTCCACACCTCTGACTGACCTAAAGTCAGCAGTAAGTAAACCCACCAAACCTCTGACTGATCTTAAGTCTTCAGTAAGTAAACCCTCCAAACCTCTGACTGATCTAAAGTCTATAGTAAGTAAACCCTCCAAACCTCTGACTGATCTAAAGTCTATAGTAAGTAAACCCTCCAAAACCCTGACTGATCTAAAGTCTTCAGTAAGTAAACCCTCCAAACCTCTGACTGATCTAAAGTCAGCAGTAAGTAAACCCTCCAAACCTCTGACTGATCTAAAGTCTTCAGTAAGTAAACCCTCCAAACCTCTGACTGATCTTAAGTCAGCAGTAAGTAAACCCTCCAAACCTCTGACTGATCTAAAGTCTATAGTAAGTAAACCCTCCAAACCTCTGACTGACCTAAAGTCAGCAGTAAGTAAACCCTCCAAACCTCTGACTGATCTAAAGTCTTCAGTAAGTAAACCCTTCAAACCTCTTACTGATCTAAAGTCAGCAGTAAGTAAACCCTCCAAACCTCTGACTGATCTAAAGTCTTCAGAAAGTAAACCCTCCACACTTCTGACTGATCTAAAGCCTTCAGTAAGTAAATCCTCCACACTTCTGACTGACCTAAAGTCAGCAGTAAGTAAACCCTCCAAACCTCTGACTGATCTAAAGTCTTCAGTAAGTAAACCCTCCAAACCTCTGACTGATCTAAAGCCTTCAGTAAGTAAACCCTCCACACCTCTGACTGACTTAAAGTCAGCAGTAAGTAAACCCTCCAAACCTCTTACTGATCTAAAGTCAGCAGTAAGTAAACCCTCCAAACCTCTGACTGATCTAAAGTCTATAGTAAGTAAACCCTCCAAACCTCTGACTGATCTAAAGTCAGCAGTAAGTAAACCCTCCAAACCTCTGACTGATCTAAAGTCTATAGTAAGTAAACCCTCCAAATCTCTGACTGACCTAAAGTCAGCAGTAAGTAAACCCTCCAAACCTCTGACTGATCTAAAGTCTTCAGTAAGTAAACCCTCCAAACCTCTGACTGATCTAAAGTCAGCAGTAAGTAAACCCTCCAAACCTCTGACTGATCTAAAGTCTATAGTAAGTAAACCCTCCAAACCTCTGACTGATCTAAAGTCAGCAGTAAGTAAACCCTCCAAACCTCTGACTGATCTAAAGTCAGCAGTAAGTAAACCCTCCAAACCTCTGACTGATCTAAAGTCAGCAGTAAGTAAACCCTCCAAACCTCTGACTGATCTAAAGTCTTCAGTAAGTAAACCCTCCACACCTCTGACTGACCTAAAGTCAGCAGTAAGTAAACCCTCCACACCTCTGACTGACCTAAAGTCAGCAGTAAGTAAACCCTCCAAACCTCTGACTGATCTAAAGTCAGCAGTAAGTAAACCCTCCAAACCTCTTACTGATCTAAAGTCTTCAGTAAGTAAACCCTCCAAACCTCTGACTGATCTAAAGTCTATAGTAAGTAAACCCTCCAAAACCCTGACTGATCTAAAGTCTTCAGTAAGTAAACCTTCCAAACCTCTGACTGATCTAAAGTCAGCAGTAAGTAAACCCTCTTGACCTCTGACTGACCTTAATGTCTGTAGTTTTCATGTGATGGATGAACACATTTAAATACAAATGTACTTACATTATGAATTGACTGCAGACGGCTAACACATAATCTCTGACTAACGGAATTTCTAATACAGGACAGACAATAAGATAGTGTTTGTTAGTATTTCTTCATAACTTGTATAGCTACTGATGGGATTGTTTACCAGGTATGCTTCCTTTAACATTATAAAGATGGTACTTACATTGATGGAATGTTATCATGCTATCATATTAGTTTGCTTACTGCGATACACATAAGTCTAGTACATTCTCATAACTTGTTTGTCTTTTACAGCCTTCCATAGCAATTACACCTGCACCAAAACCAGCCAAACCAGTGGCTGCTGCTACAGTGCAGGCCAAACCTGCTCCTGTTAAGCCAGCCCCTCTGGGGGCTGCTACCCTCCCAAACATCTCTGGACAGTCCAAGGTGACAGGATCCGAGGCAGCCGCTATGTGGATGCAGGAGGCACAGAATGAGGCTACGACAGGGAAACCATCTGCAGCTGTCACCGCTGCTGCTGTGAGTTTTTAAAATATTCTGAGAGAAGATGAGATTTGATTGACTGACATATGATCAATAGGAATAACAATTCTGCAATAGTGGTATTTTTACTCCTTTCAACGAAGTTCACGATGAATATGCAAGAAATCTTCATCATTATTGGTTTAAGGTTAGTTAAATAGTAAATTCCATCAAACTAGTAGATCTATATTATAGAGATAATACTTTATTGTTGTTACAGGCGGAGTTGTCCAAGTTAGATGCAGCACAGCAGAAGCAGAGACAGGAGTACTTAAAGCAACAAAGGGACAAGCTTCTGGCAATGAAGAAGGCTGCACGGGAAAAACAGCTTCTGTCTGCCGAGCAGTCTCAGCAGGCAAGACCAACATCAGCAAGAGTTGCTCGAGCTGCTCTTAAAAGTCAGAAGGAGGAACTTTCTTCAACCAAAACCCTGAGTCCTGAGGAAGAGAAGAAATTGGCCATGCGTCGTGCAATAGCCAGCAGACTAAAGGCAGAAATGTTAGATAATTGAATTGATAATTTTTGATGACTTGTGTATGAAATAAGTGGTAAGATTTCTAGCTCTGGTAAACATATGGATTTATTTCTCACATGTCAAAATTAACATCAAATCTGCCATTGTGGCTGATTTAATATTTCATCAAATAAGGTTTCAAAATGATGTACACTTATATCATCAAGAACTTTCAGTAAATTACTTTGTATTTGAAAATCTATTATTATGTAGTATAATTGCAATATTGTATTTGATGGTTGGTAATGTGCATTTTCTTTTCTATGTAAATCATGTCATAAGCAAATTTAAATGTCATTTTGCTTACACAATATATGTAAGAGATAATGTTTAGGACTTTTCTTCTAACAAATGTAGCATTTTTAAATCTTGCATCTATAAACAGGGTATTCAAAACATTGGTTGACATACATGTAGCTAGCCCAGAGCATGTGAACCAAGATGAAATATATTCAGTAAGATATGAAGTAATCTATTCTCAAAATGATTGATATTCTTTAAACATTAATCTAAAATCCATATTAATCCTGCAGTAAGCACAGAGTGGAGCCTTCTTATAATCTTTGGATGAAAATAAGGTGTGGGATTTCAACAGGATAATGATTTAGGTAAAAACTCAACTTTTCATTTCAGGAAGCGGATGAATCATAGAAAGTTATTACGGTACTCTAGAACTCATGAAAGGAAATGTGCATAAAGTTCATGATTTGTATGAAGAATTTGATATTTCTTGCCAAGGGCTTTGCTTTAACACTAATCCTTTTCTGTAAAGTCTTGTTATAAAGTAGGAAAGGCCTTATGGCAAGCATACAAGTAAGTTTATTATGGTACAATGTCCAATCATACTTCAAACATCATGTTATCATCTGGAGAGGCAGCTTTGTGCCAGGTCATCCGTACCTGGTGAGGCAACCTTGTGGTGGTTTATCATTACCTGGTGAGGCTACCTTGTGGTGGTTTATCATTACCTGGTGAGGCAACCTTGTGGTGGTTTATCATTACCTGGTGAGGCAACCTTGTGGTGGTTTATCATTGCCTGGTGAGACAACCTTGTAGTGGTTTATCATTACCTGGTTAAGCAGTCTTGTGGTGGTTTACATTGCCTGGTGAGGCAGCCTTGTGATGGTTTATCATTACCTGGTGAGGCAGCCTTGTGATGGTTTATCATTGCCTGGTTAAGCAGTCTTGTGGTGGTTTACATTGCCTGGTGAGGCAGCCTTGTGATGGTTTATCATTACCTGGTGAGGCTACCTTGTGGTGGCTCATCAATGCCTGGTGAGGCAGCCTTGTTGTGGCTCATAATTGCCTGGTGAGGCAACCTTGTGATGGTTTATCATTACCTGGTGAGGCTACCTTGTGATGGTTTATCATTACCTGGTGAGGCTACCTTGTGGTGGCTCATCATTGCCTGGTGAGGCAGCCTTGTGATGGTTTATCATTACCTGGTGAGGCTACCTTGTGGTGGGCAGTTCATTAATCTATTGAGGCATCCTTGTGGACGTTTATCATTCTCTGGTGAGGCAGCCTTGTAGTGGTTAATCATTGCCTGGTGAGGCAGCCTTGTTGTGGCTCATAATTGCCTGGTGAGGCAACTTTGTGATGGTTTATCATTGCCTGGTTAAGCAGTCTTGTGGTGGTTTACATCGCCTGGTGAGGCAGCCTTGTGGTGGTTTATCATTACCTGGTGAAGCAGTCTTGTGGTGGTTTATCATTGCCTGGTGAGGCAGCCTTGTGGTGGTTTATCATAACCTGGTGAGGCAGTCTTGTGGTGGTTTATCATTGCCTTGTGAGGCTACCTTGTGGTGGTTTATCATTGCCTGGTGAGGCAACCTTGTGGTGGCTCATCATTGCCTGGTGAGGCAGCCTTGTGATGGTTTATCATTACCTGATGAGGCAGCCTTGTGATGGTTTATCATTGCCTGGTTAAGCAGTCTTGTGGTGGTTTACATCGCCTGGTGGGGCAGCCTTGTGGTGGTTTATCATTGCCTGGTGAGGCAGCCTTGTGGTGGTTTATCATTGCCTTGTGAGGCAGTCTTGTGGTGGTTTATCATTGCCTGGTGAGGCAGACTTGTGGTGGTTTATCATTGCCTTGTGAGGCTACCTTGTGGTGGTTTATCATTGCCTGGTGAGGCAGTCTTGTGGTGGCTCATCATTGCCTGGTGAGGCAGCCTTGTGATGGTTTATCATTGCCTGGTTAAGCAGTCTTGTGGTGGTTTATCATTACCTGGTGAGGCAGCCTTTTGGTGGCTCATCATTGCCTAGTTAGACAGCCTTGTGGTGGTTCATCATTGCCTGGTGAGGCAACTTTGTGATGGTTTATCATTGCCTGGTTAAGCAGTCTTGTGGTGGTTTACATCGCATGGTGAGGCAGCCTTGTGGTGGTTTATCATTACCTGGTGAAGCAGTCTTGTGGTGGTTTATCATTGCCTGGTGAGGCAGCCTTGTGGTGGTTTATCATTACCTGGTGAGGCAGTCTTGTGGTGGTTTATCATTGCCTTGTGAGGCTACCTTGTGGTGGTTTATCATTGCCTGGTGAGGCAGCCTTGTGGTGGCTCATCATTGCCTGGTGAGGCAGCCTTGTGATGGTTTATCATTACCTGATGAGGCTACCTTGTGGTGGCTCATCAATGCCTGGTGAGGCAGCCTTGTTGTGGCTCATAATTGCTTGGTGAGGCAGCCTTGTGATGGTTTATCATTGCCTTGTGAGGCAGTCTTGTGGTGGTTTATCATTGCCTGGTGAGGCAGACTTGTGGTGGTTTATCATTGCCTTGTGAGGCTACCTTGTGGTGGTTTATCATTGCCTGGTGAGGCAGTCTTGTGGTGGCTCATCATTGCCTGGTGAGGCAGCCTTGTGATGGTTTATCATTGCCTGGTTAAGCAGTCTTGTGGTGGTTTATCATTACCTGGTGAGGCAGCCTTTTGGTGGCTCATCATTGCCTAGTTAGACAGCCTTGTGGTGGTTCATCATTGCCTGGTGAGGCTGCTTTGTGGTGGTTCATCATTGCCTGATGAGGCGGTCTTGTGGTTCATCATTATCCTGGTGAGGCACCCTTGTTGCAGTCCATCATTCTTTGGGTAGGTGGCCTTGTGGCAGTTCATCAGTCTGGTGAGGCAGCCTTGTAGAAGTTCATCATTCTCTGTTGAGACAGCCTCATGGCAGTTCATTAATCTGTTGAGGCATCCTTGTGGAAGTTTATCATTCTCTGGTGAGGCAGCCTTGTGGCAGTTCATCATTCTCTGGTGAGGCGGCCTTGTGGTGATTATAATAAGTCTGGCCTTGAAGGTATCAATGTGCACTTATAATGTAATGCTTCAGCAAATATGAGATAGCCTTGTAATTTTATAAATAGTATGTTTTCTGCAAGTGTGTACTGTATTTTCGTCTTTTTACTTGTTTGCTTTCAGTTTTATTATACATGCCGTATATTATGTAGATGTCAGTCAACCTCAGCTCTATTTTCTCCCTTATACTTGTAAACATGTGAATTTTACTAACAGAAATCCTCCAGGTGTTATAAAGCCCTATTGTGATTCATGGGATCTTATTATTCAAGTTGTTCAACAGTCTAAGTGATTGGTAATTCATCCCTGTATCACAAAGTGACTTAAACTCTACCAAAATATCCATGTTCAAGGTGCCATTTTTTCACTGTGCAGCATTTTAAATCTAGACAGCTAGTCGTGGTAATAATTATTTGTCAGCCTTTAATTTTTGTTAAATACATATATCATATATGACAGCTAAGTTATCTGGGACTTACAGTATTGCAGTAACTATTTGATATCAACATTATTGATTTTACAACCATTGTGTAACAAGTTATTGAACTTCCTCTTGATAGCATAGATGGAAGTGCATAATAGGTCTTACTGTGAGAAAACTAGAATCCTTTTGGAAAACCCTCTTTGATGTCTTGATTAATTTGGGACACTTCAGTGGAAGACAACTTCACCACTTGACCCACCTCTTGGCCATTTGAGTACAAGGCATTATGAAATCTCTCTTTTACTCCATCCATTGTATTCAAGGATGCAATGTAATATTCAGTGTTTTAGTTTTTTCAAAATGTTATAGAAATTATTTATTACATTTGTGTATATGCTCCAATTTTAACAATTGAGTAACTGCCTTGGCTGTCCATGGTAGTTGGATGTATTATCAGCCAAGTATCATAATAACAGCATATCATTTATAAAGTGACCTTATACCCTTAATTGCTAGATCTACGAAAACAGACATTTTCATACGATAAAATTTTGATTGATGATAGTAACTAGTATTAGTGTTATATATAATATTTGGAGATGGTAAGTCTAGAAGACTTCCTCCCAGCATATTCAAAGAAGATTCACTTTTTGTCTATGTAGACTACAAGAGCCCCTAGTCTTACCAAGTAAGACTTATAAGTATATCATCCCAAGTGTCAACTCCCCAGGGAGACAAAAATCAGTTAAGAGAGGTGTCCAATTTTGATGATTTAGAAGTTTACACAACTCACCCACCCAATATAGTGACTCTGTGATAAACTGTGATAGAACTTTAACCAAAGATTCCACTTGCTGATTTGCCTTGAGATTTATTACAACTTCTCACTGTTATGACACCGGCCACATCAACCTTTTATTCACATTACTGGCACTTCACAGAGGAATCTAAAAGGAGTTGATAGATCTAATTGTGGTTTATTAAGATTCCTATATATACTTGTTTTTTTCATGTTTTATTCCTGTGATAACGATGTTCATTAAACATTCCATTCTTTTAATAGTTAGTGTTTTATTGAAAATCTATTCTATGCTTGTGATTAATTTTATACAAAAACATATCAACATTTATATATATAATAATCAAATATAGCATCAGGTGTTCAGATTTAATACAGAGAGCAAACTGGTCTGTCTCAGGATACCATAGAATAACTACTTAGTCACAATTAGGCAATCACTCCGTCCTTGATGTAAAATATTTATTTTGTTAGGAAACCATGTATGCTGTAAATGCATCATCTTTTTCACTTTTTGTTCAGTTAATTTATACCAATATCATTCCAGTCACATCATAAATATCAAAGATCTCTACTTCATGATAATGATATTAATGTACATGTGTATCCATCATTTGCAAGTATGCTAGAACTTTATTTCCTAGTATTTATTGGTATATGCTTTAAAGCAACCCTACTGTTCTGTACATGTCCATCCATCACACTAACAAATGATGCTTTTGAGGTCACCATTGTGTGTAATGTTGTTTAAGAATTCATTCTACAGAACTTGGAATATATACTATAAGTTGCAAATTTATTGTTGAACATCATTGATGTAAGCTTTATCAGAGTTGCTTTTTTTACATAAAGCTGTGTAATGAAAGTTCATTCCAACAAATAATGATATTAATCATGTTTTGTTTAATAGATGTTTATATGTCAAAGTAAATACAATATAACATCAGTAGAAATCACAGAACACATTCTGGTGTGGTTGGTGAGATTTTCCACATGTACTTTGCAGATTATGTAAGAGTAAGTCCCTCTGTTGTTCTTCCTTCACTATTGACTTGCGTGAATTTTATATTATCTCACATCACTGCTAATTCATCATATTTTCCTGAATACATATCACTGTTTTGTACACCAATCATCTGAACTCTGTTCTGTTACTTTTTCCAGTTAATACTCACAGTTTGCAATTTGCATTTTTTTTTTTTTGGTTTTGCCTAACAAAATTTGGAGACAAAAAAAAAAGAAAAAAATTCTCTATTTTTCCATGTATAATATTTTCAGAAAAATACAAATGTATGCATCAAAAAACGTTTGCCACTTGGTAAATGTAAAATTATCTCAGCTTATTACTATAGTTATTTTTTCCCTAATTAAGTGTGAAAATTTAATGAAATTTTTATAGTAGATAGTAATCTTGTCTCAACTAACATATCCCTCGAGATACTGGTGATCAAGTCTGAGGCTCTATATCAAGGTTAACAACCAAGAATTTAGAATGAAAAAGACTTACAAAGTTTTTATATACCATTTACAGCCCAGATTGTCTAAACAAATCTTTAAATATGTCTAATCAGAGAAAGAGTACTTTCTAGCCATGATTTTACTTATGTGTAAATATCTAAATTCTACAGTATCTGTATATATATATGTTTGCTTGATCATATTGTGTCTTATGTGCAATTTTTCTTGACTATGTAAAGTGAGTAGATTACAATTCTAATCTGTGAACAAAACCAGGTAAAGTATCAGCAATATGATACCAGGATATGGTAAAACTGGAGATTCCCAATTTGTCAGCAGTTCTTCTGTTTTACACAAAATGCAGAAATCTGTGTTTCCTATAAAATGTATACTGTTCATAAAGATCAGAGATTATCTCAATGAAAATTAATGACACTGTATAATTTACAGAGAATCAGACAATTTCTATTTCAATGTATCAAAACCAAGCTGTATCCATCTTGGAGAGTATTTCATGTCCTTTGTTGTGAGCATATCATGCACAGTAGCTTATATGAGATGATTTGGAAACAACTGTGTGACATATATGAACGAATAAATCTACATTTATTCCAGGCATGTATCCATGTTGTACTTTGTAAATGAGTTTGAGAACTGTGTATACATGTGTATTTATTTGAACACTTTATTTAGTTTCAAGAATACTCTTTTCCCCTTAATTTGAGAAAGAGTTTGGCAGCATGACAGTCTGTAATGATATTTGTCAATTCTGGGTTATTCTTAGTACACTGTTTTGAAATCCCTAGCTTGTGGGTTAGCTCGGGTCATAAGATAAGGACTCTTAGGGCACCAAGTCAATAAACAATCGGAGAAAAAGATACAATGTCCTCAGAGGTGGATCAAAGAGCAGTAGAAGCGTTTTTTCTTTATTGAATAAAAAAGAAAAACAATAATAATTTTCAGAAGTTAAACTATTTTTGGGCCATGCCATCTCTTTCCCAAAATCCTACATTTTCCATGGATTGTCTATGAACATATATAACAGGAAAATTGTCAAACTATGACATTTTATGTATGTATTTCCACAACATCTTTTTCATTTCTCAATACTTGACAACTCTTTCTATCAATACATTTCAAGATTCAAAAACTTACACTCATTTTCCTTTCAATCAACTCACCATACCAAACATACCAGAAATCTTTTTTCAAAATAGAATCTACTTTCACTTTTTATATTTCTTTTTCTTCTTTTTCTTTTTTTGTGTTTCTCCTAAAGCCAAGTCATCACCATTTGCTTCTGTATCATTTTTATGTCTCCTCTTCTTTTTAGTATCTGGTATATAGATATACTCTTCAGATGAGGCACTAGGCACAGCCGCCTTCTGACCAAGTTCACCTGTGTAAAGGATGTAGTGATAAAGTTTTTCATGTCAGATATTGTAATTCTTTGTGATCAAAAACATACAGGTAATCATCTATAACTGTAACCCCTCTCTTCATCATTTTAGTAAAGGACCTAAAACCCTTCCATCCATGGTAATATTTGATGGTACTATATCTAGATCTTCAGAAGATTTTATTAAATTGAGTCAACTTCAGTGATTTTGATCATTGGTTCCTTGAGGTCAGCCACTGTATACCATCATAAAGTCATCTTATTCACCCTAGGATGCCTCAGATCAAATTTGGATAAAGTACTTTCCACCTAACAAAGAAGAATTTTCAATGGTTCCTATATTTGTCCTATTGGGCTTGCCCCTCCGGTCATAGGAGAATCAGACCAACTACTTATATAAAACTGAGTCCTATTCATCGATGGATGCTTCAGGCCAAATTTTCATAAATTCAACCAGTCCTACAGATTTTTTAAAGAAATTGCTATATTTTTTTTAGCTTTTGAGCTCCATCTCTCAGTCCTATTGATGATCAGACCCTTGATTTCAAAATTTTGTATTTCCACCGCCCCTGAAAGCTCCCAAACACATGAGTGATATCCAGAGCATATTTCTAGAGTAGAAGTCATTTATTGCAATATTGCTCGATTGCCCTCTTTTGGTCCCACCTCTCAGGCCCCAAAGGGTTCAGCCCACCCTTTGTACAATTTTTTAATTCCAACCACCTATAGGTATGCTTGCAATTAAAATAAATTCCAATCATAGGTTAAGAAGTTGTTTGAAGAAAGTTTTGACGAACAAATGACAGTTGGACACTGGACGCCTCCAGACCATGTGAGCTAATTATTGTATCAGAACTAATCGTTATCTCATTCATATCATAAATAGGTATTACATGTATAAATTGAGGAAACTTACCTGTTCCAGAGGACCCCTCTACATTGTCAGTTGCCTGTTGTTGACTCTTTGCTGCTTGCCAAAGAGCATTTCTCTGGAAGCGTTTGGCTGCGTCTTTGTCAATATGCGGCATAATTGTCAATTTGTCTTGTACGTCTTTCACTCTGGTCATATAGCTTTTAATGCGATCCTGTGTGTCAAGTTAATATCAATTAAACAAGAGTTTCCACAAAACAAAATTATTTTATCTATATATACTTATTTTTTTATACAATTGCAGGAAAAGTGGAAATTTTACCAGTGATCCTGGCATTGTAATAATCATTAAAATCTTTTTCATCTCATGTTCAAATTATATAGAAATAAATCTGAAACACAGTACATGAAACAAGCACAGACATATCTAAATAGAGGTCTCACAGCCAACTTACTAGTTCCTGTTTCACTGCATGCTCCTTAGGTTTCTCCCCACACACATTTAAGTACACTGAAAACAATCAATTAGTAATGACAGACAGACATGTAATATGTATACATACACTGTGTACTCTGTAAACAATCAAGAATTCCACAGAAGTGGATGTGTCGCCTGCCCAGCAAGGTTTCTGGAGATGAGTTTTATGGAACAATAGCCATAGATATTCATTGTATATATTAAATTTATATGATTTATTTTGCTCCAATATGGCAGGAACAGAGACAACCCAACTGAAAATAATCTCAAACAAACCCGTTTGTTTAAGTAGCATTGTATGAAGTTTGAGTCTACTTGTCCAAAGAAAACCCAAGTATTCATACAAAATTAATTTTTTTTACAGCTACAATGACCTTGACCTTTGACATTTATTTTCTATCTATCCTGACCTTTGACTTCAAATCTCAAAAGCAATCCAAAGGAAGCAAGCACTTTTGGTAAGGAAGCACTGTGTGAAGTTTGATGTTGATCAGCAAAAGGGAACTAAAATTATCACTAAAGAAATCCTATATATAGTAATGGTGACTTTGACCTTTGACCTTTGGACCTGAAAAGCAATCCCAAGCAAGCACTTCTGATAAGAAAGCACTTTTGTAAGTTTGACGTAGATCAACTAAAGTGTACTCATAAGTTATCAAAAAAAAAAAAAACAATTTCCTTTATATAGTAATGGTGACCTTGACCTTTGACTTATGGACCTGAAAAACACTCCAAAGCAAGAATTATTGGTAAGTAAGCACTGTATGAAATTTGAGCTTGATCAGCCAAAGTGAACTCATTTATCACAAAAAAACCCCTTTGTGTGGACAATGGCGCCAATGCCGACTCAGAAATACCTATATATTGCATGTGGCAGGTGACACAAAAAGAAGAGACCTCTATTTACTACTAGGTATCCGCCTTAACCCTAGAAGACAAACCTCGACACACATACAAACTTTGCATGATGTTGGTTCTGCGGAAACTGGAGACTTTTCTTGTCTGATTAATGGTCTTAATGTATACCATGTAATTGTGCAATGTGTTTCTGTATGTTTGATGTGTATCTCTATACTGTATGTTTCTGCATATTGTGTATCTGTATTTCTCTACTGTGTATCTGTGTAATACGTATCTGTACTGTCTAAATGTATGGTGTGTACAGCTATATATTGTGTATCTGTATGTTGTGTATTTCTCTACTGTATATCTTTGTTATGTGTATCTGTACACTGTGTATCTGTATATTGTTTATCTGTATGTTGTGTATCTCTATACTGTGTGTATGTGTAATGTGTAAATGTATGATGTGCATCTGTATGCTGTGTATATCTAAACTACTTACATGTACAATGTGTATCTGCACATTGTATATATTAACAATAAGTACAACTTACATATGTGTACATTTGTGTTTTATGTATTGATGTATAATACAATGTATCTGAAAGCCATGCTACAGATTCTCCTATTTTTCCTGGTATAATTACACTCTGAGTCTGTCATTATTAATCTGTATACAATTGAATTGTATATTCAAAATAAGAGGAAAATGTTTATATGAGGTGACAGTAAAAAAAGAACATTATATACAATAAATATACAAAAATACATTTTTTATTCAAAAATCAGAAATTTTAAATTTGTTTAAGTACATGTACAATGATAACTCAAACAGATTACTTACTCCAAAACAAAGAATTAATTGTGTAAGCACCAACCAAATCCAACTTAGCTTTGTCCAGGGGAGACAGCTGAAACAAATAGCAACATGTGATAAATGTGCAATAATTGTATGTGACCTTAAGTCATCATCATGATCAGTAAAGCACAGAAAAAAAGAATTGGTGTCAAGACAGATATAGCAGATCAAAAAATAACATCTTGACTGCACAATCTTTCTTCCTCAGAGTTTACTTAAATATGTAATGGGCAGAGATCTTAATGTCGCCAAGAAATTGTACATATATTCCTAATACATGTACTGACAATGCTGAATATATCCTACCTTCTCATGTAGCTCACTTTCAGGTACTTCAAGCCAGGGGCGGATAATTTTTTCCATGTCAGATAATGAAGTGTCAAATGCTGCTAGTTTTTCCTTTAATTCTGAGGGTATATTATCCTCACTCATATCAGCTGTTGCCATGTTGTTTGTTTGCAAGGGGAATTCTGAACATAAATATTAAATAAAGATAAAAGAAAATGAAAAAAATAAAACGATAGACACCAAGCCAAAACCATTACTAATCTAATTGTATTATCTGATCCCTCTTTTAATAACAAAAATAATTATTTTTTCAATGGCTTACAGATACATCTGCTAGAAAGATTACCATGAGAGAGAAAAAATTAATTTACATTGAAACATCAAAAAACTGCAAAAATGAAATTTATTTGTACCGAAAATCAGGGAAGTAGTTCCGGCCTATATGACGTAGGTTACGATAATACAGTTTCTACGGCAACGACCGTTACAACATGTTTTCAATGAACAAACAATATCAGTAAATACGTTTTTGTGAAAAAAATACTGTGATTAATGATATATATGGAATTAATCATTTGTTATTGTATATCTATGATTGTAAATTGATACATATAATTTTTAAATATATCACCTTGCCTGTGGGAGAAATATTGAGCACCTAGTATTGCCTGTGTATGCGTACTCAGGTGTATCGAGCATCTATGTGTGTTGTGATGCATGAGTAGGCCTGACCTTTGACACTCTCCAGTGGTGTATAAACCAGCTGGCATGCTACTTGAGAGCACTACGTCTCCAGAGAATTTGACACACGTCGACTGGACAATGCCCGGCAACGGGCAGAGTCACAGGACGAGAAATCATCACCATCATCATCATCATTACCTGAGAGGGCAGACTGAGAGAGGACTGCAAAGGCACAACACTTGTTTTTTTTTAACCATATCTAAATGACACAGGCTCACATCATGGTATGTCACTGACAGTTGAAGTAACCAGTGACCACCATTGAGGAAGTCAGACCACCACCCAGAGCCCTGAACTAGGGTGTGGTGGCTCTACCTACCGAACAGAACCGATATGTTCATGTGCCGTGTACACTAGCAACCCTGGTTATAGGCCTACCTGGTAGGTACCAAGTACCAGAACCAAGCTAATGGTAGTGTTACCAGGTAGCAAATTTATTTGACCGGTTGGTCTGGTTGGTGGCTGGTTCAACCCATATCACTGGTTAAGGATTATTTTACTCAGTTTCATGTCATTAATGATAATAAAAAATAAATTTGATATAATTGTTTCTCCTGTTCTTGAGAAGACCATCACGACCTTTTTTTTTTTTTTTTTAAATGTGATAATGTGTAAACATTACAATACTTACCACGTCGTAAATGCAAACCCCCAGTTGGCGTATAATAGGCTAGATTGCGTATTTATATGAAAAAGGACAAATTTGTTTTCCCCAACCTGATAATATCAAGAAGTTAACATGTCAACCCTGGATACTGCGAGAATTCTTCAGCTGCTTGTATTTAACCATCCAATGCGCCTAACTAAGAATTCATTATATTCTATTTACAGTTGGGTAATTATAAAGAACTTTCGTTATCCATGCAGTCTCAAGATGTCGGATAACCTACCTTTCACGTGTAAACCAACTCGCTGTCATATACATCGGTGGCCGTCGGATATCTTTGTCTTCTGAATAATATTTATTCACATGTTCTGCCAAAACACTTCCAAACTCGTGGTCGTTGTTATTTCCGGAAACGAGTAACCGGATATGGTTACCTCCCTTGCACAAGGGGATGTAATCGTTATAACTCTTCTGTATAACGTCAAGCTAACATAAAACCGGGACCAATTATTGCAGGAAAAACGGCGAAGGTTTTTGGCATTGTGACATTGTCAGTTGTACGTACAACAGCCCACCAACTCAGAAAAGACTTTTTTGTTTTACAAATTTAGCGACACTGAATCAATAATAGGTGTACACAGTCAATAGTCTACTGCCGAGATATTCAAGTGTCCATTCCAACCAAATAAAGTTTTTCGGTGAGAGATACTCACAGTGGAGTAATAGAACCAGATACGTATATATCACATACGTCTCTGACTAGAACCATGACAAAGAAGTTTAAAACCCAGGCCTCAAAAAGTAAACACTCCTTAAAACTCAGGCCTCAAATAGTAAACACTCCTCATACTAGAACCATGACAAAGAAGTTGAAAACCCAGGCCTCAAATAGTAAACACTCCTCATACTAGAACCATGACAAAGAAGTTTAAAACCCAGGCCTCAAATAGTAAACACTCCTGATACCAGAACCATGACAAAGAAGTTTAAAACTCAGGCCTCAAATAGTAAACACTCCTCATACTAGAACCATGACAAAGAAGTTTAAAACCCAGGCCTCAAATAGTAAACACTCCTGATACCAGAACCATGACAAAGAAGTTTAAAACCCAGGCCTCAAATAGTAAACACTCCTCATACTAGAACCATGACAAAGCTTTAAGTTTAAAACCCAGGCCTCAAATAGTAAACACTCCTCATACTAGAACCATGACAAAGAAGTTTAAAACCCAGGCCTCAAATAGTAAACACTCCTGATACCAGAACCATGACAAAGAAGTTTAAAACCCAGGCCTCAAATAGTAAACACTCCTCATACTAGAACCATGACAAAGCTTTAAGTTTAAAACCCAGGCCTCAAATAGTAAACACTCCTCATACTAGAACCATGACAAAGAAGTTTAAAACCCAGGCCTCAAATAGTAAACACTCCTGATACCAGAACCATGACAAAGAAGTTTAAAACCCAGGCCTCAAATAGTAAACACTCCTCATACTAGAACCATGACAAAGAAGTTTAAAACCCAGGCCTCAAATAGTAAACACTCCTGATACCAGAACCATGACAAAGAAGTTTAAAACCCAGGCCTCAAATAGTAAACACTCCTGATACTAGAACCATGACAAAGAAGTTTAAAACCCAGGCCTCAAATAGTAAACACTCCTGATACTAGAACCATGACAAAGAAGTTTAAAACCCATGCAGGCCTCAAATAGTAAACACTCCTGATACTAGAACCATGACAAAGAAGTTTAAAACCCAGGCCTCAAATAGTAAACACTCCTCATACTAGAACCATGACAAAGAAGTTTAAAACCCAGGCCTCAAATAGTAAACACTCCTGATACTAGAACCATGACAAAGAAGTTTAAAACCCATGCAGGTCTCAAATAGTAAACACTCCTGATACTAGAACCATGACAAAGAAGTTTAAAACCCAGGCCTCAAATAGTAAACACTCCTGATACTAGAACCATGACAAAGAAGTTTAAAACCCAGGCCTCAAATAGTAAACACTCCTGATACTAGAACCATGACAAAGAAGTTTAAAACCCATGCAGGCCTCAAATAGTAAACACTCCTGATACTAGAACCATGACAAAGAAGTTTAAAACCCAGGCCTCAAATAGTAAACACTCCTGATACTAGAACCATGACAAAGAAGTTTAAAACCCATGCAGGCCTCAAATAGTAAACACTCCTGATGATCGACAATGCCACGTTGTTCAAATAATCCACAATCGCACCATGAATATCAAACCATGAAAAGTTACATGTCTGGAGACAAAACCACACTTTTAAATCTCAAAACCACGCAAAGGTTACATATATATTATATACGGGCCGAATATAGATTAAAGTCTGTGCTGGAACCGTAAATAAAGAATGGCCTAGCAAAAACATCTGACGACTTGAAATCAACCGGACAAACACAAACCATTAAAAATGATCAAGTCAAACAGAAATACTTTATTAATAAACAGCCGTGTGAAAAAATGCTAGTCTATAACAGAAGGCACGAATATACAGTCAAGCTAAAAAGTCTAGTAAACTAACGTCAGCATTAAATAACGAATGTAGACGCAAAATCCGAGAAACACGGAATGGACATATGCCAACGACACTATATCAGAAGGGCTAGGCAATATGTAAGGTAAGAAGAAAAAAAGTAGTTCCGTTAAAAGAAAATATCAAGAATAACAGCGGGAAAGCGATAATACTGATCAAACAATTCAAGTTTGTATTCGATACCACTAACACAGACAAAAAGTCGGAGGCGAAAAAGATAAACACTGAATCTCAGATCTATCTATCAACTTGGATGGGCTCACAAACCTACTGAAGGAAATAAACTCGGCAAAAACCTCGGGTCCGGGTTTCCCTAACATCAGCATAAAATTAAAGACATGTCTCCCTAACATCGGCATAAGATTACAGACATGTCTCCCTAGCATCGGCATCAAATTACAGACATGTCTTCCTAGCATCGGCAGACAGTTATAGACATGTCTCCCTAACATGAAATTACAGATATGTTTCCCTAACATCGGCTAGAGTTACAGACATGTCTCCCTAACATCGGCATACAGTTACAGGCATGTCTCCCTAACATCGGCATACAGTTACAGACATGTCTCCCTAACATCGGCATACAGTTACAGACATGTTTCCCTGACATCGGCATACAGTTATAGACATGTCTCCCTGACATCGGCATACAGTTACAGACATGTCTCCCTAACATCAGCATGAAATTACAGACATGTTTCCCTAACATCGGCAGAAAATTACGGACATGTTTCCCTGACACCAGTTCCGTGGAAGATCCTGGATCACATCACATGCAAGCATGTATTACAAACAATGCAAAAATGAGCCAAAGATTGGGATATGATTTTTTGAACAATCATTTTATTCACAGAAAAAGATACACCGATGTTCTGATGACATTAAATTTATTGCAAGACGTTATAACCATGAACGAAAGTTTTAAAAAATCTACATCCATTTCATTGTCACTGACCGGAACTGCACTATCATGCCATTGGTTATGGTTGAGCGGATAGGTGAAAATGTACTTGTCACAATGCGATGTTCGTTTGAATAGCTGTGTAACATGCGCCGTAAGCTGTAAGACTTATATTTACTTCCTATGTAAAATTTGGTATGGCAATGCGTTTCTACGAGATAGATTATTTGTTGTGGTTGTTGTTTCAGTATTTCCCAAATTTCACGAATGGTGCCCTATAAGACTTCCTCACGTGTGCTTTTGGTTGAAAAATATATCTCACATCTTTTGTAGTTCGTCGGGCGCCATTGGGCTGAAAATTAGTGGGAATATTAAGGAATGGAATCCGCAAAAGGGTAGTGGAACTCAGTGACGTATGTTATGCCACTGACTTACATATAATCTAAGTACAGTATGTGGTAACGTTATAGATGTCTCCACTGAAATGAAGGAAAAGTGTTGTTGTTTTTGTTACATTTACTGCTGAAATTCATCATTATTTCAATTATTTAGTAGTTCAGTGTCATCGGTTCCACTGGTGATTGCAAATAAGAGGAAATCCCACCTCGGTATATCTTTCTTCGCCTCTCTGAAGTTATTTAGAACATTGAAAGGATTGTCTCCCTTTATGTGGTTTAGGATTAGGTAACCAGCTGTACAAAAATCCTTTCATATTCAACAGCAATTGTCAAGAAAGACGAAAAACAGAAGGATAGTAATACCGGGAATTCACACAGTGATCAGATCGCTCGTTAATTAGCAAGGCATGACAGTCAATCATTTGTCAGAGTAAAACGAGCACGTTAGGTTGTAATGCTGAGCACGAACTAAGATATTTCCCCCCTTAAATAACATTTCTCATCGAATAAAAATCAACAAGTTTTCAAAAAATATGTTATTATATCGTAAACCGATCTGCAGAAAAAGTTGTAGAGTCTCGAATCAGCCACTGAAGGAGTTGCTCGATCCTTACCAAATCAATTAACATGATTTCATATCTTGATTTCCTTCAAAAAATGCCGATAAGCACTCCTGTACCTACAAAAACGTATACTAAAATACATAACAGATCGTACATTATAATACAAACCAGATCGTACACTATAATACACACCAGATCGTACACTGTAATACACACCAGATCGTACACTATAATACACACCAGATCGTACACTATAATACACATAATATAGTACACTGTAATACACACCAGATCGTACACTGTAATACACACCAGATCGTACACTGTAATACACACCAGATCGTACACTGTAATACACACCAGATCGTACACTATAATACACACCAGATCGTACACTGTAATACACACCAGATCGTACACTGTAATACACACCAGATCGTACACCGTAATACACAACAGACCGTACACCGTAATACACAACAGATCGTACACTATAATACACACCAGATCGTACACTGTAATACACAACAGACCGTACACTGTAATACACAACAGATCGTACACTGTAATACACACCAGATCGTACACTATAATACACACCAGATCGTACACTGTAATACACACCAGATCGTACACTGTAATACACACCAGATCGTACACTGTAATACACACCAGATCGTACACTGTAATACACACCAGATCGTACACTGTAATACACACCAGATCGTACACTGTAATACACACCAGATCGTACACTGTAATACACACCAGATCGTACACTATAATAAACATAATACAGTACACTGTAATACACACCAGATCGTACACTATAATACACACCAGATCGTACACTGTAATACACACCAGATCGTACACTGTAATACACACCAGATTGTACACTGTAATACACACCAGATCGTACACTGTAATATACACCAGATCGTACACCGTTATATACACCAGATCGTACACTGTAATACACACCAGATCGTACACTGTAATACACACCAGATCGTACACTGTAATACACACCAGATCGTACACTATAATACACACACGTACACTGTAATACACACCAGATCGTACACTGTTATATACACCAGATCGTACACTGTAATACACACCGTACACTGTATACACACCAGATCGTACACTGTAATACACACCAGATCGTACACTATAATACACACCAGATCGTACACTGTAATACACACCAGATCGTACACTATAATACACACCAGATCGTACACTGTAATACACACCAGATCGTACACTATAATACACATAATATAGTACACTGTAATACACACCAGATCGTACACTATAATACACACCAGATAGTACACTGTAATACACACCAGATCGTACACTATAATACACATAATATAGTACACTGTAATACACACCAGATCGTACACTATAATACACACCAGATCGTACACTGTAATACACACCAGATCGTACACTATAATACACATAATATAGTACACTGTAATACACACCAGATCGTACACTATAATACACACCAGATCGTACACTGTAATACACACCAGATCGTACACTATAATACACATAATATAGTACACTGTAATATACACCAGATCGTACACCGTTATATACACCAGATCGTACACTGTAATACACACCAGATCGTACACTATAATACACACCAGATCGTACACTATAATACACATAATATAGTACACTGTAATACACACCAGATCGTACACTGTAATACACACCAGATCGTACACTATAATACACACCAGATCGTACACTATAATACACAACAGATCGTACACTATAATACACACCAGATCGTACACTGTAATACACACCAGATCGTACACTGTAATACACACCAGATCGTACACTGTAATACACACCAGATCGTACACTGTAATATACACCAGATCGTACACTGTAATACACACCAGATCGTACACTGTAATACACACCAGATCGTACACTATAATACACACCAGATCGTACACTATAATACACACCAGATCGTACACTGTAATACACACCAGATCGTACACTGTAATACACACCAGATCGTACACTGTAATATACACCAGATCGTACACTGTAATACACACCAGATCGTACACTGTAATATACACCAGATCGTACACTATAATACACACCAGATCGTACACTATAATACACACCAGATCGTACACTGTAATATACACCAGATCGTACACCGTTATATACACCAGATCGTACACTATAATACACACCAGATCGTACACTATAATACACATAATATCGCGCAATATAGACGGAGTTGCCTGAAATATTTAAGAAATAAAATCACAATAAAAGAGACAAAGAATAGCGGGATGAAAATGTAGAATGCTTTATACATACTTTTACGGTAGTGCACTGATTGTGGTTAAACACACAATCATTTGGAATACAAGCATGTAAACAACCGCAAATAAATTCAAATATTTTAGAAAGGAATTGAAATGAAGTAAATGTGTTAGTCCGTAAACAATGATAAATCGTTTTGTCCTTATTGACAATGTAATACGTCCGTGGTATTGACAAGCTCATTTTGACGGCAAATGCAATGTTGAGATACACAGGTGGGCTGATGTTTCCACTTTTCCGTTACAATCAATATTTACTCGTAGGCAATCCTTTATAGTATGTTGGCAATATTCGGCGGGATACACATCTCTACCGCTCTATATCGGTGCACTGACTGTCGGGTTGTTTTCATTTTTTCCCTTCTAAGGAATAAAAGAATTCGAATTATTTAGTTTACATGGATCTATCTATATGAACAGTGAGTTAAGGAGTGTGTATTTCTCCACACCGATCAGGTTATGTCAGGTTTTCTGTCGGTCGTGTACCGTAAAACATGTTCACTCAAGTGTGACCACGGTCCACACATTCCACTGATTATTGTGTCGAACGCAGTAAGCCCGCGCCCGACTGATTCGCGATCATATACGAATTTCGTACCTGTGGGCTCAGGTGAGGTGTGGACTGGCAGAGTACGGTATATACTTACCTGAAGGGCCAGAACGAGTGACACCCTGCTGACAATACCGGGCAGTGAGTTACTCTCTCACCTGTCTTTGACGGATATTACGGGGAAGTGCCCAACTGCGGAATACTTATGTAACTGTTACAAGGATGTGTATACTCTGAAAGTTTTAGAGAATAGAACGTTTAAACTATATGACACGAACCTCGTTGAATGAATTTATGATTTATTGATTGTATTGTCTGGTAATTAGCGATATACAGTACTTTTACATACCTGTGCAAACAAGGATTTTATCAGGTGCTTTAGCCTTGTATGATATGTGGCTTACACTAGTGGTTTTATTTATCTTCTCAAGAAGGTCGTCGACGAGTAAAGAAATACTGTATATCATATCTATATAGTGTACTCTAGGATATTTACATTGTGGCTTTACGTGAATATAATTTGACCGACAAACCATTGGAACTGGTGTTTTAAAACTTTGCTGTTTCCGGGACAGAGAGGGATGAATGAGGGCGGGCTGAGGATGCTGGGCGTCGTGATAATTTTGGCAGGTGTGACCGGGGTTTCAGCCCAGTGCCAGGGTCCCAGTACCGCCGTGGTTGTGGTTGCCAGTGTCTTCAGTACACTTGCTGTCGTATTCTTAGTGTTGGGAATTATTGCATTTCTGGTGTGGAGACGTCGTAGAGGTAAGTGATTACATTATCAGCTACTCATGCTCTTATCACGTGATGTGTAACATAGGTATCTGTTGATGTTTAAGAATGTCTCGTGTTATGATTGTTTTAACTACCTACAGTTTATGTACGCCCTTTAAAATAGGATGTCCCCAGTTTGTTAAATTGGTAATTTAAAATATAGTTTTATAAAGCACAAGTGAAACGATGAGAGAAGATACATTTTCCAAGACAGTCTGAACACCACCAGGCCATCAAACAATACAAATGTCGAACCACGACCTGAGAAGTTAATCACCATAAACAAAATTCCAGCCCCTGAGTTCTCTACCTGAGAAGCCCTAGTTAGGTATGAGGAACTAATAACGTGCATGACCAGGTATGTTTTATAAGCACTTGGAATGAATCATCGTGGACATTTATGTTGTAAATGTTGCATTCCAGTATTTTTTTATATATTGACGCTATTGATCTTAGCATTCATATCTGTTAAAGTCGGCAAGTTTTATCACATGTTTTATGTAGACGATCCCACATGTCAATATCTTACAGGTAAAAGTAACACAGGTAACAAACATTATGTATTCTGTCAGCTGTCGAGTGAAAAAAAAACATGCATCAAGCTCAAATCTAAACCAAGTATTTTAGTCTAAAAAATCAGGTTCGTTACATTTTTCTACATTATTATAATAATAATATTAAAGAAAAAAATCAACAACTTTTCTTACTTAAGATGACAATACTTAAAGTTTCTAGATTCTGTACGTTTTAATGAATTCAAAGTTTGTGTTTTGCTGATAGGTGAGATATCCTAGCTTGATGCCTGATGGCAATGTTGTGTATCAGTCCTTATTTAAACTAGTATGTCGGCTATTTGGATATTAAAACATTTAAAACTGTGTCACATTTAATGACTTGTATTCTGATTTATATTTTACCTGCAGGACAATTGTATCTAACTTGTCTAGATTATTAAAGCAGTGACCTCTCACTGAGAATTCTGAAACGATCACCTGATATGGTAATCTTCCAGGATATTTTTAAATGTTCTGTGAAAACCCTTAATCAGGAGTCACAACATTCTGATATAGTAACAATATCTGATACTGTAAATATTTCTGTGACAACCTGTAGACATGACCCAGAATGACCAAATACAGCATTATTCTATGATACTGTAAATATTTCTGTGACAACACGTAGACATGACTTTAAATGACCTGATACATCATTATTCTATGAAACAGTAAATATTTCTGTGACAACACGTAGATTTGTACTATAAATGATAATAAATTCTGTAACATCTCTTACATCACAAAATGTTGTTTTAACTCGGGAGTATTTATAGTAAAATAATTGCTCTATATTTCATATCAAAGCCATTTATATGCAGAGTATGTTTGATATGGTCACTGTCACCTTGTAGGATTGTTAATGTGTAACACTAACAAGTACACGTGGAGGTTCATTGCCCTATAAAATAGTTCCACCAATTAATGACAGAATCTTTTAAAGATCAATCAATGTAGATATATAGGTCTATTCTCTTGATATAATAACTGTGGTCGTAAAAATATGCTGAAAGGTGAAGGACAACTATGTACCACAAAGCACTTAACCGTGATCAATACCCGAGGGGGGTCACCATTCAGTAACAGTTATAATATGATATTGATTTCCAGCTGATATCAATGTAAATCTACTTTATATTTACTACCCAGTATAGTGTCTACTCATCAAAATGGCAAATTGCTCACAACTCCACACAACAATTAATCTTGCTAATAGAAAGAAATTTGGAACATACAGTTGAAACTTTAAAGATAGAAAGCTTTCTTATTCAGGTATTATGTCATTTTTATAGAAAACAAAATTCATTTGTAAAAATCACAACTACATGGTGATAGGCTCTATTGTGGTTTGATTAAGGGTCACTAATTCTCTATAAATAAAGATATTGGTTCTAAATTGAGTTGGAAACAAATTGTTTGAAACTTATTTGTAGATGATTACAAGGGTCATAGTAAAATGAAGGGCTGTTGTTCACACAAAGCCAGCTGGACTTTAATTTATACCTGTACCCAGTTTTTATCTGAATTATAATTAAAGAGGCAGCTGTTGACTTGATCTCCTTAATGGTGTCATTTTAAATAACAAAGGTAAAGTTGTAGATATGCTGTCAGTCCCACATACACACATTGACTTTGTATTTGAACTGTGTACATGTTTACTCTACAAATCTAATGTATTACGATTTATAGATAAATCCCTTGCTATTATTATTGACACAGGAAATGATTTAAACGTATGGCATTCCAATGATGTAACTTTGTATACAAAACAAGTATTACTCAATATGATTGTATGTTGTCATTGATTTTCACTGCCTAGGGTTACAAAAGTTATGTCTGACAGAAACGTGTGGCATATTTATTTTTGTTTAACAATAATCTAAGGCCCTTCAGGCAGTTATTTTATAAAATTGTATGAGAAGAAAATCTGGACTTTAGGCAAAAAAACCCAAAATATTTACTTACTGGTGCATTATCAACTTTGTAAGGTAATTATTGTGATGATCCCCCTTTACAGTTTAAAAGATAAGATTATTCTTAAGAAACTCATTTTAAATGTACGGGAGATTAATTATACAGGCACCTGTATACTAAATAAAAATTTCAAATTTTGAAACTGCCTTTAACCTGTACCATTCATGTCATCTTTGTTTGTCAGAGACAATAAAGTAATAAATTAGAATTCCTTTGTTAGAAATACTTTATATAAAAGATTTCATTATTTTGGATAAAAACAGGAGTTTTAAACAAATATGCTGAATGAGCAATGTGTCTGCCCAGTATATAATATATACTGTATTCATGGAATGCAGACAAACCCAGACAGCGTACAAAATAGGGGATATGGAGCCAACGTAAATTGGAGTTTTACTAAGCACTGAGCACCCAAACACGCAACATAATTGTTTGAACTGAAATCTATGAAAAGTTGACATGCAAACCAGTGAGCTCCTTAACCGTTTACAACCGTTGTAACGTAAAACCTGTGATGTCTGTCCACACTTGATAGAATTGTTGGAATGACATATTGAACGAGTGTTTTATGTTTAAATTGCGTTTTTTTCATATGTTGGCATTCAATTAAGAGTTGATGGTATGTAAGATATACCGGTACTTGTGAGTTTAAATACTTGTCCGACAACACCATGTACAGATTCGGCAATATCAGGTCGTATTGTTCTCTGGTGTTTGTATATGGGTAGAATTGAAATATTTGATAGCCTGATCTGAGATTTTCGATAGCCAGATTTTCAACACCTCAGGCAGAAGCCTTTAATTTAAGACCTGATTGTCATTGAACAGAAAGCGCTGGATTTATAACAGATAATCGGACAATACAATCAGTATGATCTTCTTCGAAGTTCTACATGGTATATAGAATATGGGGTTTCACAAGGTTTCACCTTTGACCTGTAAAGTGATCTGACATATTTAAAAAAATTATATAGCATTTATATATTGTAATGATAGTTATTTCATATTTCTGTGACATAATTGCTTATAACAGTTTTAATTGGTTAATTTCATTCAAGAAAACCAATTACATTATTCAATGAGCAACGCATATAAATTGTGAAAAACTAATGCATAGGTATACATTTATCATCAGAGACTTGTAGGAATGCACAGCTGGTAGATGTCAGTGGTGGTCTATTTCCATGATTTATTGAGATTAGGCAAATATGTGACAAAAATACAAAGAAATCTGGTAAATATATATATTTTAATTTAAAGTTTTATGTTTGGAAGATATTAATTTATTAATGTTACATGTACAGGAAAAATTAGAAATGTTAATATATTAAACGAACATTAAAGTTTTTAGAAATTCACAAAACAAAAATTTTTGTTTTGTTTTAACAATGAATGAAGTTGTGTGTGTTTTGCCGCGGGACATCTGATTGGTATATTCTGACTACTTATTGTGATAATAACACAGCATGTCACAGCTCTGTACCTACAGGGCTCCGACGACATGTCACCAGATTTATTTTAGAATGATTTATAAGCATGAGGTTGTATAGGGATCAAAGAGGAACAAGAAACCATTTCAAGCGTGACAACATTCCAGCTCCACGATGTCCTGTCAGCAAGTTCTCTCTCCCCATTTATCACACCTGCACAGGTATACTTACTTTGTCATATAAGTCTTCCTGGCACTGTGACCTTTCAGACCACCTGACACACCTAGTCTGTCTGACCCTAACAGAGCAGGTGTGATCAGTGACCACATGGTATTCCTGCTGATAGGGGTAGAAGTGTGGGGGTGTTGATACTTTAGGGGGTTTTGGTGTTGATTAGGGTAGGAGATATGTGGAAGTTGATTAGCATAAGGGATGGGGCTGTTGATAAGGATAGTGGATGTGGGTGTTGATTGGGAGTATGATATGTGAGGGTCTTGATAGGTTGGGGGTGTTAGGGTATTGAAAAAGGGGGTAGGGGAAGTAAGGTGTTGATAGGGGTAGGGGTGTAATGATGTTGATGATGAAGGGAATGTGGGGATGTTAAAAGGGATAGGCACTGTGAGGGTTTGGATAAGGTTAAAGGAGTTTTGATGAAGGTAGGAGTGTGAGGGTGTTTGATAAGATGAAGAGAGAACTGATAAGGGATATGGATGTGGGTGCATTGATAAGAGTAAAATGGGATGGGGTTGTTGATCAGGTTAAGAAGGTGTTCATTATCAGGGGGGTAAGGGTGTGGAAGTGTTTATAAAATTAAGGAGGTATTGTTAGGGGGTAGGGATGTTGATCAGGGTAGGAATATAGGGGTTGTTGATAGGGTCAAGGGGGTGTTTACAGTAGGTAAGGGTGTAGGGTTGTTAGTAGGGGGTGTCAGTAAGGGTTATTTATACTGAGTGTTGGGACAGGTCATGATAACCAGTGTCCTTGTTCCTGTCACTTCAGGATTAATGGACTACTGGGTCCAGCAGGCATGTAC